TAGAAATATTCATCGTAGCTACAATTTCGAGGTAATCAATGAAAAAAGTAGAGTCATATTAGATTTTGTTTTAGAGTATGATTTTGTTGTTGCTAATACTTTATTTAATTTCGGGGTAAGAGTATGATTTTGTTGTTGCTAATACTTTATTTAAGTATGATTTTAGAGTATGATTTTGTTGTTGCTAATACTTTATTTAATTTCGGGGTAATTAATGAAAAAAGTAGAGTCATATTAGATTTTGTTTTAGAGTATGATTTTGTTGTTGCTAATACTTTATTTAAGAAAAGAGATGTGCATATTATTACTTATAAGAGTGGATCTAATAAAACATAAATTGATTATTTTCTTATGAGAAGATGAGATCGTCATGAATATAAAGATTGTAAGGTTATTCTTAGTGATAATTTAAGTATTCAACATCGACTATTAGTTTTGGATTTTAAGATGAAAGTTATAAGATAAAGAACATTAGAAATCATTATCATAGAATTAGATAGGGGCACCTAAAAAACACAAATAAAACTATATTTATGAGTAAACTTCCAGATTTCAAGATTTGGAATGTTCATGAAGAAACAAATTCTATGTGGGATAAAATAACAAACACTAGTAAACAAGAAGCAAAAGATACACTTAGAGAATCAAAAGAAAAAAATTCTATAAATAAAAATAGTTGTGGTTGAATAATATTGTGCAAGAAAAAATAGAATATAAAAAGTTATAAAAATGTCTAAATGTAAAAGCTTAGAGAACTGGGAAAAATATAAGGTTGAGTCGTAGGAAGACTAAGAGAATAACGTATGAAGCTAAAAATTCTGCTTTTAATAATCTTTATAATAAATTAGATACAAAAGAGGGTGAAAAACCTAGCTAAACAAAGAGAAGAAAAATAAAGATTTAACTCAAGTAAAGAGTATTAACGATGAAAATCAAATAGTGTTTTTTTAGATGTTTAGAATAGGTGGGTGAGCTATTTTGATAAACTTTTCAATGAAGTTTCTGAAAATACGATCGACCTTAGTGCTCTTAATATCGTTAATAATAAGATATCTTATTTTTATAGTCACATTAGTAAAAAAAAGTTTAAGAGGATTTAAAAAACCAAGGGTGGAAAATCAGTAAGAACTGATGATATCCCAATCGAAGAGTGGAAAAATTTATGAGATTTGGAAGTTTGATATTATTTTAAAAACTAAAAAGTTGCCGTAGGAGTGGAGGAAGAGTATTTTGGTTCCCATTTTTACGAATAAAGGGGATGCACGAGTGTGAAAATTAGAGAGGAATTAAGTTGATGTGTCATACTTTAAACTAATGGGAGGGTAATTGAACATAGATTAAGACGTATTACAAAGATTTCTCATAATCACTTTGGATTTATGCCGGGTAGGTTTACCATGAATGCTATACATTTATTGAGAGGTTTGATGGAGAAATATAGAGAGAATAAGCAGGATATGCATATGATTTTTATTGATTTAGAATTTAGAAAAAGCTTAAGATAAAGCTTAAGATAAGGTTCCAAGAGAAATCCTTTGAAGAGTTCTAGAGAAAAAACATGTTGATTTGCTTTATATTCAAGTCCTTAAAGATATGTATGCTAGAGTTATTACTTGTGTTCAAACAGAAGGATGACTGGCCCAATATTTTCCTATTTCAGTTGGATTACATTAGGGAGCGGCTTTAAGCCAATAACTTTTTTGATTTAGTTAAGGATGCCATTACTGGACATTTACAGGAGGACGTAATTTGGTGTATATGTTTTTCATTGATGATATCCTTTTCTCACCACACAAAACTTTAAAACCATCCAATTCTCATGTATTTACATATCTAATAGTTAAATTTTATTTCTTACATTTACACCACACAAATCTTTCATATCACAACAAAAATGTCACTATTTAACTTACAAAAAATGATGGGCACATTTTGAAATATATAGATAATATGGCCTATATGTAAAAATTATAAGTGAACTGTTGGATATATAAAAAACATAGGTATTGAGTAGTATGAATGCAAATCTTCCAAACTTTCAAATCAAAATTCAATTCAAAAGGTGACAGATACGTGAACACAGTACAAACCCCACGTAATTAGCAGATAAAAAATGGTTAAATGATTGAATCAAGATTCAATTTAGCAGAACAAGCACAACAAATACACAACACATCTTCACATGAATTGGAAGTTATGCTGCTAGAGTTAAAAAGAACATCAAGCTCACTCCCCTCAATATCTATGTTCACAAGAACAAGCAACCCTATTCCTACGCCACCTATCAGCCAGAAATAGCATTCCAGCTTCTCTTTCCTCTTCATCAATATGAAACTCCAAAAAATACAGAAAATAAAATCAGAAACCTCCTCACCAATTCGTACAAATAGCAGCTACAGGATCTCGAACTAGAGTGGATCGAAGAAAAAGCAAGGGCAAAGGTCAATGGAAATTGTCTACGAACGATGCCTTCTCCTGTGGCCTGGGAGTCGTTTGTGATAGTCTGCACGAAGCCTTCGCCTGCCTAGGAATTGTTCTAAGGCCTTTGCCCATGGGAGGAAGCTGCTTGGTTGCGTGAGATACGCCGGAGAAGAGGAGGAAGCCGTCGAAGAAGAGGAGGCGAGGGGAGCAGATCGCGGTTCGTCTTCTTTCACAGGAGAAGAAAAAATGAGAATCGGGTAGGGTAATCGAGTAAAAAGCCGAGAGAGGAAGTCGGGCCGCAGGTTGCACATCGTGTTCCGCATTCGGTGTATATCGCGACCCGCCGCATGTGCACCGCCGCCCCAAACGATAGTTTTTAGCGGTTTGGTGCTGCGTCGCAGCCTTGCAGTTGCTCTAAACAGAACCTGAATCTACTCCTAAGAATCTGTCCACCCCTGTAAACTCACAATTTATCTAAATTTGTGTCTCTGAGGTTCCCTCATGCATACTCAAGTATACTAGAGCTTAAATAAGTTCAAAAAGTCATCCCAAATAATAGGTTAATGAAGACATGTAAGTTTTGACTCCCCTTTATATGCATGATCTACTTGAAGAAATCTTTACCTCCCTATAACTACTAAAGAAAGGCACAAAAAATTGCATAAAACAACCTTTTATTGATTATCCCAATGTTTCAGTAAAATATTTTTATCAAATCTGAAGAATTTTTATCAAGAGTGTGAGTCAAAACAAATTGTAGGCTCCAAATACTTTATCGAGATATTACTAAGATAGGAATAAGGAAACACAAACAAACGAAATAAAAGCATTGGATATAACAACAAAGGGAGACTGTCAATAAGATTGAAAAAATAAGTATACATTAAAAGCAAGATTAATCGTTAAAAAATGCATACATACATAAAAAAAATTATTATCGGGAAGCATTTACCGCTATAACAAAAATGAACACATTAAAATTTATATCCCTGGCAACACACAAAAAAAAAAGAATTTTAATTGAGCATTTCTCTAGGATTTGAAGGAAAAGGTGCACAAAACAGGGTATTCTGTAGACCAAAAAGGACTAAAGTCTAAAGCAAACCCCTAAAGCTTAGTTGGAGAAACTTGCCAGCTCAACCAAACTTGTAGTTATCAACAATATTAGCGTGGATATTGTTTCCATTGAAAATTTTGAAGAAAAACAAAATATGAGACTATGCAAATGAATTGTACTTAAAAAAACATAAAAATTTAAAGTCACGTACACAAAGAAGGGATACTTATCTCTCAGCAAAAATATATTATAACTCTTGTTGAAGGAAACTAAAAAACATTGCTATGCCTGCTGAGCCAAATAAAAAATTGGAGGAAGCAAAAAAAAGAAAACGACTGTAAATAAAGAGATGTATCAAAGATTGGTAAGAAAACTTATCTACCTTGCTCACACACAACTTGGCACAACATATTCAGGCGGTTCATGCAACAATTTAAGAGAGCCACATAAACAAATTGAAAAAGCAATCAAAGTAAAGGAAAATATTCAAAAGGAATAATGACCTCACCTTAGAAGGCAGCACATATGAAGATTATGCATATTCACTAGTGAATAAAAAATCAACGTCAAGATATTGCACATTGCTTGGAAAGAATCTAGTGATTTGGAGGAGCAAAAAATAGAATGTAGTGGCTGAATCTATTATTGAATTAAAATTCAAATTTATGGCCCAAGGAATTTTTTATTATTAAGGCTAAAATCATCCTCAATGAGTTGAGAATCAAAAAGGAAAGATCTATAAAGTAGACTTGTGACAACAAAGCAGCAATACATTGTCTATAACTCAATACAATATGACCATCCAAAGAACATAGAGATTAACATATACTACAAAAAGAAAATGCTGAAAAAGGCTTAATCTACATGTCTTATTTGCTGTGAAATGGCCAACTAATATAATTTTTCTACTAAAGGACTATGCGGATCAATATTTCATGAAATCATCTCCAAGCTAAGAAATGAAAAATATCTATTATATAGCTTGTGTGGGAATGTTGGAACCTACAAATTCAATTCAAGGAAATCAAAATCAAATGGATTCATAACAAGGAAAACAAGATCAGCCTAATTATTGCTTAGTATCAAATACTGAATCCACTAAGATTACAATGACGGGAAAAAAGTTTACGGTTGCTTTGTGCAAATGATAATAGGTTAGTTTTATTTTCAAACTCGATTTTGTTTTATTTCAAATGAAAGAGTTTAATGGTTGAGCCATGCTTTTGACCAGAGTTGCAATCCTACAAGTTTTATTAGTAAACGGTAAATGATTATCAAATAACAAAAACTTGAATAGCTTGAAATAGATTGCATGCTGCAATTTTACATTTAATTGAAAATCAAAAGCCCAAACCTATTAGCATAAAAAGAATTAAACACGAAATATGGGCCATAAACCAGTGTGCAGCAAATCATACATGGTTATAAAAATGACATCTTTCTTCCATTAGATTTTTTTAAAATGTTTTTTTTTTTTAATTTCATTTAATTTACGGAGAATAACAAGGTGATTTTCAAATACCTGTAAAGCTACCTGCTGCTGCGCCTGCAGCAATACACTTTCCTGCTCTGGTCTAGGCTGTACTGCACCTTGGTTTGCACGCCTGACTGTAAGAGTTTTATCTCCCATCTTGATGCCATTAAGTGCTGCACATGCAATGTCAGTAACAGAGAGATCTTGATAAACACAGAAGGCATAGCCTTTTGAGTTGCCAGTTTCCCTGTCCTTGACAAGATCAAAACCACGTAAAGGGCCAAATGACTCCAGCAACTCCCGCACCTGTGCTTCAGTAAAATAGTAGGGAAGACCACCAACAAAAATACGATCAGGTCCTTCGAGGCCTCCAGCAGAACCAGGCATTAGGCCAACAGCAGCAAGGTTAAGGTTGGGGTTGGGCTGGCTTGGGCCAAGAGCTGCAGCAAGAGAAGGGTTGTAGTCACTTGGCCTTCTAACCTTCACAGGTGCCCCCTGGATCCACATGAGAATCTTAGCAGAATATGGCTAGAGGAAAAGTTAAATAGCTAAACAGAACAAAAGACATTATTTGACTAGATTCAGCTGGACAAATCCTTACCTCAAAAATAATGCCATCTAAGGCCATTGCATTACTTGCTTCCTCTACAGACCTCATTTCCACAAAAGCAAATTTCTTCTCATGGTTTATATATACGTTAACAACAGCATCGCCTTCAAAATGGAATAGATAGATGAGCATTTATTCGCAATGAATGGATAATCGATCAAGGAATGTGATTAAAAAATTCTCACCTGGACCAGCAGTGTTTCCCCCAATGGCCGCCATAACTTGGCTAAAAAATGTTGCCACCGACTGTAAACAAATACTTTTAAGGACAAATTTACAGTTATAACTGACATTCAAATTGTTGCTAGCTTTTTCAAGCTCCTGAATAAAGCATTATGAATCATTCTACACATTCATTCCTGTGATAGTATTCCTTTATTCTTACTTCTATTCTAATTTAACTTGAGCCCAAAAAACAGCTTGCAGTGTAGGAAATAAAAATGCAAGCAAAGTACTGAACTAAAATAACATTGTTTAGTATTATGTAGGAACACAAGCTTTTCCTCATTAGTTGATAAAAAAGAAGGAAAAATGAAAAGCAACAGGTTGTAAAATTAAACAGTTAGCATTTACCGCTATCAGCATCTTCCTCCAAAATTAATCAATTAATTAAAAGAAAAAAACAGTAATATAAAAAAATATACTTTCGAAGGGAAGCATGATGGAAAATAGTTACAGGATTGAAACACAAATCACAATTGACTCTTCATTGTTTGCATATGAATTGTGAGATTCCAAAACAACAAATGCAATTTGAACTTACCATGCTTGATTAGAATCACAGAGAATTTTTGTTAGCTCACTGTCCAATTCAAAGACTGAAATGACAATTAAAAGCCACTCAGTTCAAGATCTACTGCCAAACTAAGTTTGGTTTAAAACAAAATAAGAAGCCTGAGAAGTGCTGTCAAACCAGTACTCCACTTTCTTTACTTTATCCTCCAAAAAAAAGACTTCGAGAAAGTTGGTTTACTTCACTGGTGTTTAAAATATCATTCACAAGCTCAATATTCCCAAATAAGTTAATATGACCGTAAATCATGAAACACCATAACACATATTTTACATCTAGTTGAATAAGGAATCCTGTGATCCAAAACTCAATATAAACAATTTACCGCATGAAAAAAGTAAAGATCACAGAAACACTTCGAGATTTCCAACAGGATGAATGTGGAATGCAGGACAGCCACCATGGGCCCGGATCTCCATTTCCATATTTTTAACCACTGGATACAAGACTTCAGGAGCTTTGATTGTTTGATTGGTGTGAAAGGTTTTTTTTTTTCCTTTTTTCGCACATGCAAAACAAAACATTAGCAACTCACCACACTAGACAGTCTAGCAACCAATTAGCACGCTGCACATTTATTATCTCATAAATAATAAATGACAAAATGTACTTGCTTCCTTATCCCATCACCACCATAACAAAATGACAAAATGTGCTGGGCTGCAAAAGGATATATAGAACCAAATTAACTCAAATGGCTCAATTGCCCAACACAAAGCAAGACTTGTAGCTCAAGGCTATAAGCACAAACATGGTTTTGACTATAAGAAACTTTCAATCCTGTGACAAAAAAGCCAACCATTCCCATACTTCAAACATATAACAACACACCAAAGTCTTAGCTAGAGGTCTGCAATGCCTTTCTCCATGGCACTCTCAACAAAACAGTGCATATGATGTAGCCACCTAGATTGCTAGATCCCCAACATCTTACTCATATATTTCTACTTAAAAAACCGTCGAGGGATTGAAACACTCTCCACCAATGGTTTGCCACATTCTCCACCTATCTGCAATAATTCAGCTTCACCACAAGCAATGTCGATCCACCTCTGCTTCTCTACAATCAGGACAATATTCAAATGTATATACCTAGTTATTTTGATGACATACTCCTCACTGACAACAACGCTAACTCCATCACAAATTAACTTCATTAACTCCATGCTGAATTCAGCAAGAGTAATTTAAGTTAGGTATCTTATTTTCTTGGTATTCAAGCATCGTCCACACCATATGAACTTTATGTCAATCAAACCGACTGCCAAAGTCATTTTGCACCACCCAAGTATATGTTAAACTGCAAACTCATTTCCAACCTCTATTCAACAAAATTTCCATCCACCAGCAATCCTATAACAAAACCTTTACTGCCACCTTGCAAGCTCAGTACAATACTTAGCCATTGCCCCAACTAGACATTTCCTAGATCGTTAATAATGCCTTCCAACACAAGCTCAATCCCTTAAAAAGCCACTTTTGGTATACGGCTAGTCCGATTTATCAAAGAAATTACACTTCATGGCTTGCCCATCTACAACACCAAGCTTCTTCTACAGTTTTATTCTTATATCAATTGAGCTAGTGATCCCAAAAATCAAAAATCAACATCCAAGTATTCTGAATTTATGGGCCTCACTCTCATATTGTGATGTGTTGATAAATATTCTATAGTGGATAGCTCTTCAACTGAGGCCAAATACTGGTTTCGTGCCACAATTGCTATAAATGTAGTTTGTCTAAGATGTCTTCTCCAGGACTTCAACCCAATCACTCAACCAGCTCAGTGCACTTTGAAAAATATCTCTCAACACTTGTGCTCGTCAATAATCTTATTTTTCATGCCAAGACCAATCACACCAAAGTCAACTATCACTTTATTAATGATTGCACTAAATCACAAGCCATTGAAGTGCATTATATTGCTACTCAAGATCAAACAGGTAAAATTCTGATCAAATCTCTTCCCACCAAAAAATATATATGGCTGCAAGGCAACTTAATGATCCATCAATGGCCCGCTAGTCTGCAGGGAGGTGACAAGCAGCCTGCTATTGATAAGCTTACAGCAGATAAGGAGCTGGCAGAAGCTTCAACCAGCTCTGATAACCTTAGCATCATTGCCAAACACTAGTGCAACCTCCGTCTTCTCTGGCAGAGCATCACATACGTTAATCTTAAACTATCCATTAAAGCTCAGCCAGTCGATTGTAACCATTTTTGCCATATTCTAATTTCCCTAAGCCTGAATCCTGTATATATTCAAACTCTGTTTATCCTTACTACATTGCAAATAGGGCTGTAAACGAGCCGAGCCTGAGCGAGCCCAGGCCCGGGTCGTGTTCGGCTCGTTCGAATCTGGCTCGTGTTTGAAATCGGCTCGTGTTCGAAATGACTCGTGAACAGTGTGTTCGTGTTCGGCTCGAATAACATTTTCATGTTCGTGTTCGGCTCGAAAATGGCTCGTTAGAATATAAAATTATTTAATAAATATTTTTTTTTTAAAAATAATAATTTTGTCTAAAAATTTTTCAAGGACAAATTTCATACAAAAATTCAGAGATTATGTTAATTTATTTTTTACAAAAAATTAATTAATTATAATTTGTAATATTTAATTTTATGAATATGTATTATGTATATTTATATATATTTATTTTCGAGCCAATTCGAGCCGAACACGAGCGAACAAACTTTTGTTCGTGTTCGGCTCGTTTCGTGTTCGGCTCGTTAGGCTTAACGAACGAGTCGAACACGAGCTGCTTAATGAGCCGAACACGAGCTGTTCGCGAACAACGAGCCAAATTGACAGCCCTAATTGCAAAAGAAAAAAAAAAAATATTAGCAAACTATTTTACTTCTTCTTCAGACTTGGCATTTCTTCTCTCTATTTTCATCTATCACCTTTAGCTTCTTATATTGAAGCTCTTCTATTTCTAGAAGGCTAAAATCATGTCAGCTATCGCTTAAGAATGCCATATCTTGTAAGGGTAAAGTAATGCCGTAAATGATGAATCATAGACATTTTCACAGGAAATCCTACAAACGTATATCTCGTGAAAGATGAAACAATTTTTTAAAGTTGAATTTTTTTTAAGCTAGCATTATCAAGATTAAAGTTGGCACCGGTCCTTAACTCCTTGCTTATTTGCAGCCTTCCTTACAAAGGACATGACATGAGTATATTATCTGAGGCTCTTTGCACATTAAAGCCAGAGGTGATAACCTTTTTTTATCACTATTGCTATGATATTTAACCTCCTACGATTCTATTATGCTTAGGCCAGAGGAGGCAGTTTCCTACTTTCTTTTGGGATTGCAAAAAGAGAAAGGCATGTAGAGAGTCGTTAAATAAAATTTATAATAGGACGCGCAAATCCTTATTCTTATGGGATTTAATTCTTTAATCAAATGAGAAAGTTAATGAATTATTCGAGAGGCCATTTTCTTGTATAAATGTGGAACCACTTTTCTAGTAATTTCTTGGCCTATTTTCTTGTCTTTTCCTAATTCTTCTTTCTATTTTCTTTTTCAGCATTGGTTTGAAATCAACAATCTGTTTAATCAAATTTGTAATAATATGGTTTTATGCCAGAAACATAAATTCATTTGTGTAGGGCTTTTGTGATCCTGATTATAGTAGTTAGTTCATACTATAAGGCTAAAACCATTCTATCTGAAATTGATTGTAACAATGCTATGGGCCTTTATTGATGTAGCCATTAACGTAAATAATAGTCTGTATCCTAAGAATTTTCTGTATTTGTTGCATAATTTTGAGCATATAATATCAACTACATATTAAAATTCAAGAACCTAAGAAGTTCAATATATTGAGTAACTCGGACCTAATTGAGCAATTAATTAACCCCAGCTCTCAAACACAAATAAAAACATATCTATTCGTTTCAAATACTTCATTCTTATCTATACCCTCCAATTACTTGGAACAGGTCATTCTACACAGTATGGAAGGATAGCATTACAAGAACTACCTCAGAATGAAAAATAGTCGGTGTTTTACCAGCCAAGCTAAGAAAAAAGGATCTGTTTTCTAGAAATTGCATTTACTCAATCGAAGTGCAACATTTTAATAATTTCATACACAAATCATACTTGTAGCAGAAACCTAAAAGACCCATTTTGCAAATTGAGAGCATATTAATCTGAAGGTATGCAGTAATACAAATCAAGTAGAATGCCTATATAACAATCATGCTTACTAAATGATGCACAAGAAAGAATAAATAACAACACATGAACACCTACATAATTACATACGCAAATCATACTTGTAGCAGAAGCCTAAAAAGATCCATTTTGCAAATTGAAAGCATGCTAAGCTGAAGGTGTGTAATAATACAAATCAAGTAGAATGCCAATATAACAATCAGGCAAAGCTTACTAAATGATGCACATGAAAGAATAAACAACAACGCATGAAAGTCTTGAATCGACAATGAACACCACTTCTACAGGAAAATATACAAGTATAAAGCCATTGTATAAATTATAACCCAATATCAAAATAGAAAGGAAAAAAAAAACCATAAATAATGCTTGACTCATACATGTGTATATCAAAAAAGCAAATAAAATTTAATGAAGGAGATTAAAAAAGGCTTTCAAAAGTACAGTAACTGTATGAAATCAAAGCAATAATAGAATCAAACCATGGCTAGAAATGCTATAAAACAAGAAAATCATAAAAAAAAATTAACAAATGGTAAATCTAAAAAAAAAATAATTTGCAGAATTGAAGTGCCAGCATAGAGCAGCTGAATGTTCCAAAAAATATCTTTTGCTGACCATCACTTTATGGCAAAGAAGCATGCTGTGCACAACCACGCGTTTAGCAACATTAATATTTACATAAAATCTAGTGAATAAGACTATGGCTCCAAAAGATATATGCTGCTACATCATGCAGGACATGCACAAAAAAGAGGGGGGAGGGGGTGGTACAGTTTCAAAGGGCACAAACCTGTTCATTAGCAGCAGGGGAGAGACCTCCAACGTAAACTCGCCGAGCATGTCGAGTTGCCTGAAAATTTCAAAGTTATGCTCGCTAAAAACAGCATAACGAAGAATTATAGAAATGGAGACCATACCTGCTGTGTCATAGCTTGCACTGGCATTACTGGAAGAGGGAACTGCATGCACAAAATTCATGCTTTAGATATGGTAAAACTACAGAAAATGTTCCAATGTATTTAAAATAAGATTTACACACATACCACTCAATTTCTATTTATTTACATATCTTAAACCTAAACTTTAATTTTTACAGTTATACCACCCGAATCTTTCATACCACACAAAACTAACACTATTGTAACTTTTAAAAAATGAAATACGCCTTTTCATGCAGAGGGAATGTAGCATGTATGTAAAAATTAAAATTATAGGTGTTGGATATGTAAATACAAGAATTGAGTGGTATGTATGTAAATCTTCCCCAAAATAATTAAAATCTGAATGATTTGGTTAATGAAAGTAACAACCTGCCCAGCTGTTAATGGAAACATGCTCGGAAACATTCCAGGAACTGTTGCTGGTGCCCCAGGTATCTGGCCTATATAACCAATTAGATGCTACAACAGATAAATCATATTACCCAGCCATAAACAGAAAAAAAAAAGGAAGCAGCATAAGCTTGTTTTGCCCATTGGCGATAACTAATTTTTGCCTTCTTCAAATAAGAGCTCATTTTAGAAAAAAATAACTAGTTAAATACTGGAGAATGTACTCATAAAAACTACCAAAGAAAATAGCTGCCGGTTGTGTACTGATTCCTCCTTGTACATAAAAGCAACAGTAGCTGGCTCACGCCCATTGGCAGCACAGTGGGACAAGTAGCCCAACATTGCCTTCTTACGACAATATTTATATACAAAACAAACAAAAAACCACCAAAACAAAAGAACAAAATTTCTGCTCAGTTACAAATATAAAATCAAAGTACAATAAGGAAAGAAAATCATTCAAAAAATTATTATGAATTAAACTTTTAGTAATCAGAGAAACGCTAAACTAAGCTTTAAATAATTATTATTCACCGGTACAACATCAAGGAGATTGAGATGAATTTTCAAGTTAGCTGCCAACTTAAAACATGCATTTACAACAGAAAAGCATGGCTTAAACAGATGGGAAATCTACCTGGCATAGCAGCACCAGGTATCATAACAGGACCAGAAGGTGCCATGTCAAATCCGCTAAGGCGCTTACTACATAAGAGGAAAAAGCATAAATAAAATAAATTAGAAATAGCTCTGCAAAAGTTTCTTAGGAATCAGCAACAAAATTTGGGACATTAAAACAGTGTTCATCTTTTAAATCACACAACTCCATAAAATCAAAATAATGAATTTAGTTGTAAGTCTATTCACAGTAGAATTTTAAGCACATGTAAATACAATTCTTTATAAGCAGCTCAAAAGTTTCAACATGATAGAAAGAAAAAAAAAATAGCAGTAAAGTAAAAAAAAAAAATCTACTTTTTTGATATAATAAAATCCTTGAACAAGCTTATTTTGAAGCTAAATCAATTAAGTATTCTTTTCATTAAAAACTAATTGAATCAACAAAAACAGTAAGACATATACCTCTTTGACCTTGAGCGAGAACGAGACTTTGATCTATGATCAGATCGACCCTTTGACCGAGATCGAGATCTATGTCTACGGCGACCCTCTCTGTCTCTATCATAGTCCCTATGCCTGGAATGAATATTTCATTATGACTAAATCATTTTTATACAGAGAAACATGCATACATTAAGCAACAAAGTTCACCATTTATTTCAACAGAAAATCATAGCTAAAAACCCGAAATGCGCATAGAAAAAATGCAAGCAGCCTTCAAACTGGAAATAGCGATAACAGCAAAAGTGTTAGCTGAAAATATTTCATTTAGAAGATGCAATATGTTGTACAATCTGGAAACTATAGTTTAGCTAAGAACTAACAGCTTTAAAGTGTAAGAAAACTATATTCCAAGTGAAATATTTTAAATATCATTTTTAGATAAGACGCAAATTGCTGCAAATATGCAACATAAATATTCTCAGTGAAAATTTTGACAGCTGATGGTCTATAAATCAATTTTAGCTGATACATATTGGACATGATTATTGACAAAGAAAATACAAGTTTCTAGAAAATGAAAAAAAAATCTAACAACTTTAGCGTGCTACATGAAAAACAGTTTGTTGCATTACATTAGGCAATTGCAAAAAATGAAAAAAACACAAATACACTAGCTAAAAGGGCTAGCATATGGCTGATAAGGGAGCACGGCAAGCTCCAAAATGAATGAATACTATGATATACGTTAAAAGAAAAACTTGATTGAATTTTCACACTGGAAAAATTTATTTAATTTGATTATGGGATCCAACAACCAAAAAATAGATTGTATTACTGAAAAATCATTCAATCTTCAACTAATGTAAGCACTAGGAGGAAGTAGCTTGCTTCTTAATTAAGTTGTCCTGAGAAGAAGTTGCCATTAGAATAGCATGAAATAGCTCTATGAGCTAAGCATGTCCATAGAACATTTGCAATTCTCTCTAAAGAAAGCTCGACATAAATTGACTTACTTAAAAGATAAATATCATTCTAAGAGTTGTTGAGCCATCCTCATTAACTCAGTGTTGGAAATGTGGCTTCTATTATTTATCCTACATTTATGTAACCATTTAGCTGATTACAAGGATTATATCAATAAAAACATCTGAAATGGCAATAACAAAGGGTTTGAACCTCGTGAGGTAACATTATACGTTCAGGTCCGAAAAAAATGTCAAATTGGGTTTAGGGTTGGAGGAAGTTCAATATGGCTTCGCTTGACAGAGAAAATTTGTAATTTTATAGGATGAGGCGAATCATCTAATGGTGAGTAAAACATTCATGGAAAATGTTTAATGAAAAACCACCAAAGAATTTTTAATGATGAAAACTAGAAAGAGTTCAAACTTTATTAAAGGAATTTAAAGAGCATGCAAGTCGTTTTTCATCAGTATTTCATAAAAATTCAACAATAAAATAATTTTAAAATTATGAAATTTCGATTAAAATCAACAAATTAGTAGACTTGAATTTGGAGAAAAACTACTCTAACATATAACATTTTTTTCTCAGTGAAGGGTGAAGAATCCACTAGTGGGTGGAATTTCATCTTTATTTAAATGTGATTTAAAGTTGCCAGCTTTACTAGAAAATGCATCTAGGTTGAAGGTATCTAAAATCATGTCGGTGGACAAATTATTGCCAAGTCTTTTCAATCCTTTTGAATAACTGTATACATCACTGATAATTTACTTAATTGGATTTGAAAGTCCTTGACTCGTCTTAAAGCTAAAATCCTATGTTGATTTATCCATTCAAAGAAAATTACGATTAATGTTCATCTTCATAAATTAGGAAACTGTTAAGACAATAGGATTGCTTACTTTAAGTGTCTTCAAAAAGGCCATGTCACATAAATACATTCAGAATACTTTTTTTACTGAACAAAATCCTGATTTACTATCTTTTGATGATGAGGCATTGAACATACGGAAGATAACGATTCAATCTTTAAAGATTGAGACGAGGATCATGCCAATCAAAATATTAGTAAAGTATGATGTAGGCTGACAGCCCAAGTTGCAAGTTAAGTTGGAAATGAACAGTGATTTTTTTATAGTGATGCTAACCAAACATAAGTGTAAGCCGTGATGGCGGAGTATTATTAATGGCATATCCATAGTTGCTTTGTTAAGGGCCAACCGCCTGACTACAACTAAATCCTTCAATGTAGATTGGTTCAAAAAGACCTCGTTATTGGTAACTGAAAGATGTCCAATAAACATCCAACTAAGAATTTATAAGAATAAAATGTGGTGTGGTGTTTTATCACAGATGTGAAAAATATTCTTATTGATAGGCTTTGATTATATGATCAAAATGTGATCCTTGCAAACATAAAAAAGAATGGTGTTATAATTAAACTTGATCTACTGAGGCTAGTTGAGAAAGTCTCCAAGATTATTCAAAGGCAAAACATGGAAATCAACATAAGAGAAAATATACATTACAAATTATGACTCTGAAGGAATTTGTAAACGAGGAAAAAGAATCTAGAGCAATCAGATTCTTAATCACTAGACAAGCCACTATGGAGAGTGACAACCTACTCAAATCCACTGAAACTGCCAAGCTCTCAGGATATGACACTAAGGAACTCCTTGAAAAATTACCCCTAGTGCACGTCATTCGATATGCAATTCATATTGTTCTGAGTGAGGAATTCTCAAATCCCCCCTTGCTATAGAATAAGCCAGAAAAACTAATCTGAAATAATAGGTTGATGAACTTCTTTCAAAAGAATTTATACGTGAAAGTTTTGAATCAATGCATAGTGGTTGTCTTATTGAATATAAAAAATGATGGCTCATCAATAATCTCTATGAATAGTTGTTATAAACAAAAATTGTGAATAGGTGAGTATTAACGGCTTCTTGATTTGATGATATGTTTGATAAAGGCAAAATATTTTAAAAATCATTATTTATAAATTTGTTATTTTAAATAAAAGTTCGATAAAATAAAATATTTAAAATAGACAAAAATCTCCGCGTAGGCAAGCGATTTTGCCACATCAGCATGCAAAATTGCCCGGTGATGTAGTGATTTCACCACGTAAATCGCTTGTTGTGGTGGCAATTTTGTAAAAAAAAATTATAGTTGAGGAAAATTATATATTATTATTGTTATATTTAGAAAGCCACAGCACTTAGCCAATTTAGTTCCACCGGTAAAAGTACAAGATTCTTAACATTATGATCATGGGTTTGAGCCCCATGGTAGGTGTTTTTCAATGCAGAATTTTAACTTAATTATTCTTTTTAATTATTTAATTTAACAAATAATAAATATAATATAAAATTTATTAAATATTATAATCTCAATTTAAAAAAAATTAAATAAATTTTAAAAAATTAATATTATAATATTAAATAAAATAGCTTTAATTATATGAATAGTTAAAAAATATATTTAAACTTAATTAGCCTTTTTAATTATTTAATTTAACATATAAATTAAAATTTTAATTATATGAAATGATTATATATAACAACTAATTATAATTAATTATTCTTTTGAATTATTTAGTTTAACACATAAATTAAAATTTTAATTATATGAAATAATTATATATAACAAATAACTAAAATTAATTATTGTTTTAATTATTTCATATAATTAAAGTTACTTTATTTTATATTATAATACTAATTTTTTGAAATTTTTTTTAAAATTAAGATTATAATATTTAATAAAATTTATATGATTTTAATTTATTTGCTAAATTAAATAATTAAAAAAATTAATTAAGTTAAAGTTATGCATCCAAGAACATCTACCATCGGGCTTGAAGCATGACCACAACGTTAAGAATCTTGTACTCTACCACCTGAACTAAATAGTCTAATTGTTATGACTTCATAAATATAATAATAATAATAATAATATATACTTATCAGCAAAAATATTTTTATTTTTTTCACAAATTCGCCGCCTCAACGGACAATTTCCCTATTGACGTGGCCAAGAAAAATCAACATGTCAGCAGGCGATTTGCATGCTGGCGTGTCAAAATTGCATGCTGACATGGTAATTTTGTCTATTTTAAATATTTTATCTTTTGAGTGTTTATTTAAAATAATAAATTTATAAAAAATACTATTTTTAAAATGTTGCCTAGATATAATTTAGGGATCATTGTTCTTCTTAAATATTATTAAATAGTTGCCACTAAATTCGAATAAACCCTAAAGATGAAAGAAGGATAGTTTTTAAGACACGACCAAGTTTTCTATGGTTAAGCTTCCAGATTTTGCAAAAGCTTTTAAAATATTGTGTGATGCTTCGAGAGTAGGAATTGGTAATGTATTGAGTTCCAAAAATCATTTCATTGCTTAGTTCAATAACCAATGATGTTAAACAAAATCACTCCACCTGTTGAAATGCAAACCTTAATATTAGCATCATTACATTATAACCACCAAACACTGCAATATTTGCAAGACAAAAATTGTAAATGTGCCTTTAGTTTTAAATATTATCTAGTGTCAAGAACAGAGCTACTTAAGCACTAAGTAGAACATTTATCCTACTTAGTATTGTGAAGATGAAAGTGACAAGGTTTAAGAATATAAAAGATAAGTATCTAGCATGTGTCGGCTTTCATCTAATCCATCTCAATCAAAAAACAATTAAATTTTATTGACTTAGATTTTACAAATTACTCTTAAAAGGTTTAAAATTACGCATTCATCATTCTAAGATTAATATGGGGCAATTACATGATGTTCATTAATTAATTTTTGAGGTCTTTATTAGGCTATTGTTGGGTAAGGAAAATATTATATTGACCTTTTTTTAAAAAATATCTCACTAGATAGTAAGTCAATACCAGATTTATTAAATTAAAAAAAGTTGTAAAGCAAACCCCAAACTTGTAAACTCCCCTACATGTGCCTAATGCATCGTGGTAAGGCTCGACATGGATTTAATGTTAGAATTACCCATGATTGTCTACGGATTTAATTCCACACTGATGGTAGTCAATGGGTTTTCAATAGCACATTTCATTTCATGTTCTATGAATTTTAGGGTCTGTTTGGGGCAGCTGTAGCTTATCCAGTTTCTGCTGATAAGCAGCTGATCCTGATAATCTACTGATGAGCGGCTGATCCGAATAAGTTGGTTGGTTGTTTGGTTAGCGCGTTTGAAACAGATTATTCTGGATAAATGACCACTCTGCCCCTGTTCTGGATAAATTATTTAGCTGTTTGTTTTGTGTGTTTTGTAAACAGCTTATTCGTAGATTTTTTTAGTTGAATGAATAATCTGTCACGCAGAATTTTGATGTACCTGTAATTTCTCAGCCCACCAATCATCTGGCGCATCCATTGTGCGCTTAACTGGATCCCAACCTATTCCCGTTGATCATTTTTTTCAAACCTTTTCAGATCTTTCTATATTTTCCAATCCTTCTTTAACTGATCTCACTTGTTCTTCAATTTCATACGATCATAATCTCTTCCGGTCACTTCCTTGAATTTAACCATAAGATAAGTAGTTTTTGCCACCCTTCTTTGTTAAAATAAGTAGTGAGTCTATTTCCCACATCAACCTCCCTCGGACATATATCACAAAATATAATAGTTACCTCTCTATCCCACATGGTCGATAATACAGCCTCTTTAGCTTTATTCATTGAGTTCTGTCAGATTAACGGATAAGCACAAACAATTTCTTGTCATAGCAAAAAATATTGCTACTACAAAATCCATAGCAATTGACAAATAATAATGAAACAATTTGCATGAAGAACCATTTACAAATTGATCGAAATTGTTACAGTTTTCAAAAAGAAAACTTTTTCTCGCATACATATTAAACAACTGATATTTTTTTTTCTTTCTTTCCGATGGTTCCTTTATGTACTCATTGAAGGGTTGAATAAAAGAATCTAAGCAGAAGATGTTCTCCGCATATCTCATTCTTGCCATGTATCCATGGCTTTGAGTTCATCATATAGGCAAGGTAACTTAAGTTTTACACCTATCCAATATGCTTGTAATTGTGCCCATTCAAAATTAAATTTTGTATATATTTGGCATTTTTTTCTAAAATGATAAAAATGAGTAATCATCCTGGAGTAGATCATCCCCATCCCAAGATGACATACAACGGTTAACAGTAAAATAAAAGATCATAAAAGCTTCCTCCATGCAATATCTAAAATTGATACATATGTTTGTAAGCAATGCAATGCCCAAGTCCTGCTCAGCTAGCAGTTGGTATGAAGGAAGAATAATATAAATTGCACTTCTTATAAAACTATTGTAAGTTTTGTAAAACAAATTTTTATGTGACACCCTAAACATTCTCATGGCCACAATCATACCGCAGAATGAGCAAAAACACCCAATTTGGATCCACTAATTTTACACCTCAGGTGTTTAGATCCATCATCAGATACATCAAATATCTCACCCGAAATGACCAAAAAAATCCTCTAAACAAAATGTCATACCGCTGCAAAAGATTTTCACTGATGAAAGATGAAACCGCTTCCCACAGCAAAAAATCCAAATAAACATATCAAACCAGAACGAGTGCAAACGACGAACATGGAAGACGAGACATTCTGTAGAGCGAAAAGCCGAAGAAGAAGATGGCAAAGGAGTCAAATGTCGAAGAACCAGAGGGAAAACGAGCCGGATCCGTAGGGGAGGAGCGCTTAGGGCATGAGTATTGTGAAGGATTCTCCACTGAAGGTGTTTGAGGGCAGGGTCACGGGAGCGAATGAAGGTCACAGGAGCGAATGAGGGTCAAGAGCAGATACGTAAAAATTATTTCGCAAAACGCGGACCACGGGGGTGTTTTCATAAAATTGAAAACTGAGTTTTGGATAATCTGACAATAAGTGCTAATCAAACGGAACGGCGGTGTTTTCAAAACGCCGCCCGCACTTTTAAGCTGCCCCAAACGGGTCCTTAATATCTTCAGCATTGGGCAAACAAGGTCAGGGGCTTAGTGGTAATAACAAATGAAGTCGATGGGAGTGGCGAACGAGAAAATGGGGTCATAGAGGTTATTGGCATTAACACTGTGAGTGGTGTTGGCACTGATGATCACTGAATGAACATGAGACACCATGGAAAGTTCCACGGCATTGACAACTTCAAGATAAGTGTTGGCATCTAAGCTAGCCTCAACAACTTTGAGGGCAAGATCAACAATTCAGCATGACACATGCACAAGAATAAGGCTTCACAAGAGTACGATGTATTATTAATTCACCTAATTTAAAGCAAATTCGGAATACACCAAAAAATGACCTATTTGAGAGCTTCAATTTTCCACCAAAAAAAATAAATAAATGAATGAACTTAACATTAGTCTCAACCAAAAACTTAAAACATGTTAAACTCTTGTATTTCAAATGAAATACACTCAAAATACTCTCAATCAAACAACCTTTTAATAACACTAGGAAAAAATCTCAATATGACTAAGAATAAAGAAAGGGTAACTAGGAATAGCTCATATGGGAGGGAAGACTCGAAAAAATAAAAGCCGTTACATGAATTGCATAAAAGAAGAAAAGTAAGGATAAGAAGAAAAAGAAGATTTGGTCAAGCTAACAAAATCATCAAATAATACCATCCTTGCCACTTCAAAAAGAAAAGAGTCCTCAAAGTGTCAGAACCAATCTGAAAGAAAGAGAGAATCGAAACTACAACAAGTTTTGCTAATCTGGCACAAACTCAAACTCGCTACAAAACATCAAACATATGGTACTAAAATATGAAAAATACATGCAAGCTAAGTAATCAATTTTAAGGAAACATCAAAACCTCATTCATTGATCCAAACAAACACTTTCATAAGCCCATCCACCAGATAACCATTTCTAAATTACAATCAATGAAAAAATTTCAATAAAGCCGGTGCCATTTGATGGTTTATAAATATTACCCCACTTTGATGAAAAAAATCACCAGTTGATGCTACCTAAAAGTCCCTAATCTCTACGTTTGTATCAAAAATGTTATTATCGCATAAAAACCAATAACCAATAAGGAAAATTGTGATGCTTCAACACTAAATTTTAAATTGTACAATCTATATTGTCCAAAAGTAAAGAGCATCTAAATCGATCAGCAAGAAAATCAAAATTGCATGCTTGAAATAGTTGTGAAATAATATATAATAGCACACATGCAAGATAAGCATACATACCTATCATAGTCTCTATCACGAACACGATGGCGATCACGATCATCTGATCTTCCACGGGCAGGCTCTCTCCTTTCACTTCTATCCCTGTCTCTATCCCTGAGGTGGCTTTCCCTATCACGATCCCTACCCCAATCTCGATCTCTATCCCTATGCCGCTCTCTATCCTTCTCCCTTTCCCTGTCTCTGCTCTTTGAAGAATCTCTTTCATGATCTTGAGAATCATGCTGCAATTACACAAACATATCCAAATGAGAATTAAAAAAATATAAAATAAATTTATAAATAATCTTTGCATTCACTATTCCACATCAATAATAAACATTGTTCTAATTAAGAGTTGGCATGATTCATAAATCACCAAAATTCCACCTGGTAACATTAAGTGTTGCCATGGGTAGAATCTATAAAAAGTTTTCTATTTTAGAAATTGTTATGTCACCATCATCAACATGAATGAAATTGATTGTCATGATTATTATTTGAATTCAAGAAGACATTTGCTCCACTTTTCATTAAGGCTATGATGTAAGGAATAAAGTTCTAATTATTTTATAACCATGGATCACTTAAATTAAGGGGGTAGTCAATTATACAACCAATTATAAATATTTTGAACGTTTCCATTCCCTCCAAGAAATTATGTAATATTATGTATTTTATTGCTTAATATGGAGTTATATAAAAAAATATCATGTTGAATAGAAACCATCGAATGTGTTACTTGCATGTAATGTAAAAAATAGTGTGATTGTTCTTTCCATCATGAAAACTTTAAAACTTCCATCAAAATTGTCTTCAAAATAATTCACATTGTTCTTCTTTATAGTGTCCATCAACTTCTCTATTATTTTTTTTTTTTTTATATTGTCATATGTAACCCAATTTTCATCTCCATTATTTGATACCACAGCTTAAATCTTAACATCTATTACATGTGAGGTAAAGTCCGGTAAATTCTACTTCATATGATATTAGTTGTGTTTCTAATTTCTCTTCATGGCAAGTTGTGATTCATCAATTTTCCGAGTTCTTTGTTATCAACATTGCAAAAAGTTAAGGACTTGAAGTGTTTAGAATTGATTATTTAATAAGTGCAAATCCTTCTTGAAATTTTGTTTGGAATGAATAAAAAAAAATTATTGTGTTAAAGATGGTTATCCAAATATTCTTAGCTAGTTTATAACTACTTTTCTTACTTGCTTTTGCTTCCTTGGTAGTTGTGTGTTCTTTCTTCCACTATTATTTTTCGATTTAACATGCAAATAATACTATATCAACCTATCACAAGCATTTAAAATTCCAAGGATAGGGTTCCTTGAAGAGTAATAAAAAATAATACAAAACAAGAAACCTGCCATAAAAATCTAACTTTTGCAAAAATCTTATCTTCAATAATCAATATGAAGAGATTTTTTAGAAGCCTTATAATTGGCTCCATTGTCATGTATGGAATTGGTCATCAAATTAGAAACATGGAAAAACTCAAAAAACAATCCATTTATAAGAAAATAAAATCATCGGCGCTAAATGACAATTTTTCTATTTTAAAAATTGATATATTGCCACCATGATCATAGAAGATATGTATTGCTATCATGATTATCTTGAAAAAAAATTCAAGCTTCAATGTCATCATTCAAATAAATAAATATTATTTCAGTTAGAGAAAAAACATGCTAGCAACAAATTCAAATAAGAGAGGAAAAATGAAGGAAGATATTAATTGTCATAAAAATAATTGTTGGGATTCACTCTATGTCTAATTAGGGGAGGACAAGTTTTTAAGTAATAAAACATGTAGGGGCATCGACTACACTTATCATTAAGACTCCAATGTAATGAATGAAATTTTAGATGATATATAATCACTAGTCCCTTCAATCAACCAATGAATGAAATTTTGGAGCTTTTTACTCCATAAAATTATGTAATAATGTTTATTTAATCTAATAAGTGAGCTGTCTTAAAATATCATGTCAGTTCGAAGTTAAGTGTCGCTTGTATAAAATGAAAGATAAGCTCTTTGGCTTCCTCCTATGAAGGTACTTCGATGAATTCCCTATAAAATATTATTTAGTTCTATTTAGAGACCCTTGTTATCTTTATGTTGTCATGGAAGGCTCACCCTCCATGACTCCATCAACGTTAAATATGGGTACAATTTTTATCGTCCAAAATCCTTCGTTTCCTTCCCCCAGCTCCCAATCAGTGGAAGAAAACCCCTAAGGAACAAACTAAAAGAGACGATCTACAGAACTACCAAAAATTGTATCTAAGAAAGTCACATCTAAAACCCCTAAGGAACAAGTTTTGCAGTATTCATTGATCTTAAGAAAGTCTACGATCATAAGGACGCTTTAAAGTTAGATAGGGATCGGAGAAATTGACCTGATGGCTTCCGCGGTCGTCAAAGCCACTGCTTCGCGTTGGCGGGGAGGGGACACCATAGTCCTGGTAGCCGCCGCCGTTACCTTCATATCGCCCCTCGAAGTCCGCCATGAAAGATCTCTTCTACCCTTGTGGCACCGCTCCTTCGTTTGCTTATAATCGAGTCTAGGGCAAGTTCTTGCGGCATTAATAAGAAGGAAGATTAAAATAGATACCACTCACTCGCTATGTATTTACACATCTGACCCTTAAATTGTAAATTTTGTATATATTTACAATTTTATAATGAAAAATTATATTTAATTTTTTTAAATTTAAAATAGCAATATTTTTATATGATATAAAAAAATTTAAATGATAAAAATATAAAAGATAAATTTTAAATATTAGAACTGTATATATATAGAAATTGGGTGATATGTATTTAAATGCGCGAAGAGTTTACTAATTGAAGCAGTCGTTTTAATGACAAAATTTTAATGTATTGGTTTTTTCTTTAGGAAAATTAACATGAATATCATATAATCTAAACACACACATAGTCATTCCTAATATTAATTTAAGCAAACATCCAACATAGTTCATGCTACATAAGAGAAACATCTAGAGGTATCTATGAATTACGCTTAAGCTTTATTCAAATAATATTTTAACCTTGTATGAACCATGTTGAATATGGTTCAATCATGATCTAAGCATTGTTTGATTATACTGTGAAAAATGATTCGAAAAAAGTTCAAACATGACTTATAATATATCAAATTATAACGTTTAATGAAGGAGTGCTTAATTAGAATCTCATGTCATTGAAATTTGTTCGAATAAAAGTCAAATAATTTTCAAGCAATATTTATTCTATATTTGAACTGCGCTCAAAACTATGTTGATCCATATTTGAACATTGTTCTTATAAGATTTGAACAAACATATATTAAATAAAATTTAAGTATAATTCAAATATGATTTGAGCATGTTTTAAATAATAAGCTAACATTGAAAGATATAAATTTGAGCATGGTATGAATATAGATCAAACAATATTTTAATAATAATCAAATAGTATTTAAATATGGATTATAACACAACATCAAATTATTCACAACACAACAATTGCAATACAATAAATCATAAGAGATTTAATATATTAGCACAATTGTTAAAACATAATAATTACAATATTGTAGATACTAGATCCATAAAAATTTAAGTTAAATATTGTATATTCTTATTACCATTTATCGTTGAACGTATTTATTGCTCAATATTCTTATGTATAACTAAAAGGGATAAATTGGCACCCCTTTCCTTTCAGCTTATTTACTTATACATATTTCTTCTTCAACTCCTCTATTTCATGCCTATATTTAGCATAATCATTAAAACAAAATAATTACAATTTTGTAGATAATAGATCCATAAAAATTTAAGTTAAACATTGTATATTCTTATTGCCACTTTTCGTTGAACATATTAATTGCTCAATATTTTTATGTATAACTAAAAGGTAGAAATTGACACCCCTTTCCTTTTTAGCTTCTTTACTTATACATATATCTTCTTCAACTCCTCCATTTCATACATATATTAGCGCAATCGTTAAAACATAATAATTACAATATTGTAGATAATAGATCCATAAAATTTTAAGTTAAACACTGGATATTCTTATTGGCACTTTTTGTTGAACATATTAATTACTCAATATTCTTATGTATAACTAAAATGGATAAATTGACACCCCTTACCTTTTTAGCTTCTTTACTTATACATATATATTCTTCAAGTCCTCTATTTCGTACCTATATTAGCACAATCGTTTAAAAAAATAATTAAAATATTGTATATAATAGATCCAAAAAAAATTAAGTTAAACACTATACATTTTTATTGCCACTTTTCGTTGAACATATTAATTGCTCAATATTCTTCTGTATAACTAAAAGGGATAAATTGACATTGCTTTCCTTTTTAGCTTCTTTACTTATATATATATCTTCTTCAATTCCTCCATTTCATACATATATTAGTACAATCGTTAAAACATAATAATTACAATATTATAAATAATAGATACATAAAAATTTAAGTTTTAACACTGTATATTCTTATTGCCACATTTCGTTGAACATATTAATTGCTAAATATTCTTATGTATAACTAAAAGGGATAAATTGACACCCCTTTCCTTTTTAGCTTCTTTACTTATACATTATCTTTTTCAACTCCTCCATTTCATACCATGCAGCATATCTCTTACTTTATACGCTTTATCTCTACATTCTAATAAGTTAAAGAGTGGGCCAATAGTGGACACATCACTCTGCATCCTTGTTTGTTCTTCTGTATATATAAGGCTCCAAACAAGAATGGTTAAAGTATATAATTTAAGTTGTATCATTATTTGATTATTCTTTAACCTAATTCGGTTACTCGTTCACTCTTGAACAATGATAAAATACTAATTTATCCCTTAATATGGTGGAATGAACTTATTGTGTTTCCATTACCTTGCAAAGTCATTTATAAAAAAATGGGTTGTTTACTCTATTAATAGCTCAATATGGGATGGGATAAGCAATAGTATGCATAATAGACTCCTTGATGTACTTCTCATTAGTTGTATGCACTAACATAGCATGAAAAATCACAAAGAAAAAAAAAGCCTCTGAAATAAATTTGGAAAATTGCAAACTAGTGCTGGAAAAAAATACTCATATCTTTATTCACAATCAATATCAAAGAATTCTTTTGCATAAAAACTTTGTTGTTCTTTTGTCTAAAAATTTAAGATGCTTTATCCCCAAAAAACTAAAATCAACATTTTCTCAACTCTAGTGCACTTTAAAGTCATTGTCTTGATGAAGAATGTTCAACACTAAACATTATAACTAGATATGCATTAGCATTGAATTATTGGGCTCATGAACTCACACTATTCCTTTTCCATCTCATTAGTATTTTCTTTCATGCTTTCCTATCCTGTGGGTATAAAAAATGCATCTTCATCTTTACCAATATAAAACATGCATGTTAAGATAATATTGGCTTTCTCATGATTAAGAAGATATCAACAACAAAAAAGCTTGAACTTTCACACATCATCTATGTAAATACACTTAAAAAAAACTTCTATTGCATTGATATATTTAAGTTTTTGTCCACACCAAAGTAATTATCTAGCAAACTTAGTTCCAATCATTTGTTGTAACTCACTGTCAAATGCAATTTATTAAATTTAGCACAATAATCAAAATTAACTCTGTGATTCAAAATTTCGTGCTATTTCCTCTAATATTGAACATGATATTGTAATTCTAATTCTTAATATTATCAATCATAAGCAATAATAATTAATAAACATGGCACAAAAAAATTACATTTTAAAAAATTTAAATAATTGATTAAAAAGAAATCCGTCAATATTTAAAGCAAGGTCATTAGTCTTAAATTGTCTAATGAATTTTTTCACAACACAATAACTCTATATACAACTTGAAGACTATACATCTCAACCAGTATAATCAAATCATAATCATACACCTCAAATAAGGGTCTTTTTGGGGCAGCTCTTATTAAAAAGCTGTTATGCAATAGCTGTAGCAGGAAGCTGCTGCGGATGAGCTGACTGTATGTTTATTTTTGCAGTTTTAAAGTTATTGTGTTGCAACTGTTTTATGAACAAATGATCTTTTAGCCCTTATACTATGGTATTGTTTATAACAAAACAAATCGTGCTAGCACATTCCATACTTGAAAACAAATGTCCAGCTGGAATATTACAAAATAAAAAAAGACACCTCACAAAATAGTGAGTAGCATGACAATCAAAATAAATAAAAAATTAAAATAACAAATAACAATATGATAATAATATTTTTAAAATATAGTTTGTTAATGTCACGAGATAATCCATCATCCAACAAAACTCTCCACACCCATCTATAAAAGTCATAGTTCTTTGTTATTTTCTTTGGACACCGGTAAAACTGTCTCCTATAATTACGTGATCATCGCGGAGGAAGCAGAGAACATTATAGTCCACTGTAGTAGTACGATGCTCTAGAAGTATCGAAAGTCATTGAGGTTATTTTTTCTTTGAAAGTTTAAAACCACAATGCGTAAGCCCTTAGATGCAATATTAGTAATAAAGAATATTAGAAGTAATCAATTTAAGTTTTATGAAACGGTGAGGTCTCAGAAAACATACTATAAACCGACGAATATGCTACTGCAATAAGACAACGAACCTTATTTAAAAAAAGAATTCTTAATTTCATTTAAACGACATAATACCCAACTTTCACATTTTCCACATATTCATATCACAAAAATCCATCCAGAAGAACCTCAAAAGCCATAACACTAAAAAAAAGAAGAGAAACTTGGTTGTTTTCAACGTGATTTCACATGTATCAAGAACTAATAGCAATATATATCAGTAAGAAGAACCCATAAGGTCGAATATCTCATCATAAACCCCCAAAACAAAAGATAAAATATGTAATAAAAATTTACATTACAGATTATACGCACGATTGACTCATAGGCCATCTAAGTGTGAAGAAACACACACAAAAGAACTGAAAATAACATTGAGATTAAAAAAGTCCATCATTACATAAATGATTAATACAATAAACAATAAACATTTGCATAACAAATTACAAATAAAGTAACACAAAAAAAAACACAACCACTCCATTTAACCACCAACAATGGCATCTGTAACTTACTTCCTCAACTCTTTCATTTCCCTTGCATCTTCCCCATCCTAAGTGCAAGTCTCAAGAAAATCACTTCAGCCTGTGATAAAGATTATCATATGTGATATTCATATACTTCAACAAGGACATGTGAATGATCTTCATCAGCCCTATTGAAGTTCATATCGCTACAAAGGATGCTACCGAATATAGTTGTGTAAAGCTTTTGCGACAACCACAATCTACACTTGATTAGAAAACATATATACCAACATATCCCACAATATGCCCCATTTTTTTCTTTGAAACTCTAAGTGTTCTTTCAATGATATCACGTAAGGATGAGTGTTTCTTGGTAAACATCTCTTTCCTACCCCAAGCGATAAATAAATTTGTTGGCCTATTTCCTAACTCCACTTCTTTAAGACAGAGATCACAAAATATTATTTTAACATCTTTATCCCACATGCAGACAAACCAGTTTCTTGTACCTTTATTATTATGATACTGACATGAAAAATAACCAAGCAACAAAAATGTATAGTAGAGGAAAAATAAAGTGTCATTTAACATATCATAACTAAAAAAGCCAACTAAAAGGAAACATCACAACAAACCACGAACACCCACACTACCACTAACAACACCACCCCCAACATCAACACACACCACCAAAAACACCAGTGTCATGCACTGAAAAACCAACCCCAACATCTACACACACCATCAACTGCACCACCGACGTGACATTGAAGAACCTCCTCCAACATCTACACATACCATCAACAACACTACCGCCGTGACAATGAAGGACGACCCCCAATTTCTACACACACCATCAACAACACCACCACTATGACACTGAAGAACCACCGCCAACATCCACATACATCACTACGATGACAGTGAAGAACCACCCCTAGCATCTACACACACCACCAAGAGCACCACCACCATGATACTTACGAATCAACCCAACATCTACACACACCACCAAGTGTACCACCGTCATGACACTGAAAACCCACACCTAACATCTACACACACAACCAACAACACCATCATCATGACACTGAAGAACCGCCCCTAACATCTATACACACCACTAAGAACACCACCAGTAGTACCACGAGCACCCACATCAGCACTAATTGCACCATCCCCAACATCAACACACCACCAACAACACCACCCTAACATCAACACACCACCATGGTGCAACATCACCACCAACATAACATATCATTCCTCCAACAAAGAGGGCAAACCACCAACAAATCAAACACCCTCTTTCATCCATCTTTCAAATTCTCAATCAAATATCAAAGGTCATGATAAAACCCCAAACCAAATTTTTCATTTTTATCAAATTCACGTCCGATGATCGTTGCATGCATAAATGCATCAAATTCATAGTTCAAAAAGTCACATACGGGAATTGATTTGTAAATAACAATGTTTCTTGTGCTTTGTATATAATTATCCGAAAAATAAATTAGAGAGAGCCCAACTGAGCAAGCCACCCTAATTATCCAAAAAAATAAAAAAGAAATCAATATATGAATCTGATTTGTAAACAACACACAATTGTATATAATTATCTCAAAAAATTTATTGAGAGTAAAGGCCAAGAAATCACAAGAAGGCCGCATTGGTCACAAAAAAAAAAAAAATTAAAAGCCACAAAAAACTAAATCATGTACCGCAAGAAGCAAGACATAAATGGCAAATCTTCAAACTATAAACTAATTTCAATGCCAATAGTGTAGGGTAAAGATTACCAATGAGAGAATTCCATCAGCGTGGAGTATTCAGAGAGAAGGTAAGAAGGTAGGAGAAGAGAAATGTCACCAAAATCCGAAAAACACAGCTAAGGGGAGAGGAGCTAGGGCAGAGCCAAGCGTGGGGTCGAAGCGCAAAAGGGAGGAGAGGAGAAGCTAGGGTAGGGGTTTGAACAACGAAGATATAACATAAATGAAACGAAGTGCTGCGTCGAGGGCAACCGAGATATTATCAATCAAACAAAACACAACTTTTTTTTCAAACACCAGCTTCTATGTTTTCCCACCGCATCAAAACTAAAATGCTACCACAAACTAGCCTAATTTAATTTCAAAAGAGTAAAAAAAAATGATTGAATCACGTTCAATGCATCTTCGAATATTATTTAAATAAAAATCATATCATATTTAAACAATGATTAAACTATTTCTAAATCGTGATTAAATCTTACCCAAACAAGGTTCGATCAACGTTCAAAGCATCTTAAATAATAATTGACTAATTTTTTAAATAAAAAAACAAACTATATTAAACCAACAATGCAACAAAAATCAAACTATCATGAAAGCCTTTTTAAATAATGCTCTAACAATCACCTAATAGTGGTTGCATTATCTTTGCATAATTATTAAACAATCTTCAAATTCGATCAATATTTCTATTAGATTTTGGTTTTATAATATGATTTCATGCTCATTAATCTAAAAAATTATCTTATTTTGGACAATGCTGATTAAAATATTTCGAAAAAAAAAATCTACAAAACAAAAACACAAATCTCCAGGAAAATCTTCTTCTTCATCTTCATCAGCAATATCATATGCCACAACTCCAAGAACTCTCAGCCGTCAGCTTAGGAAATTCATTCAGTTTCCCCAAGTTGAAACATGCAGAAACCTGAAGATTTCAATAGAAACAAGCAGTCAAAAGACAGAAAATGAACCATTTTATGCGAAGTAATATCCTACAGAGATATATTTAGATATTTGGGTGGTCAATTTCATTACATAAACCATTTTTTTTGTTTTGCAGAACTCACTATTTTTTAACACAGGTATTGTGTGCAGATTTAATTTTTTACCCATTCTCCCCATAGTTCTATAATTTCTTATTTTAAATATAAAAAAGTAATACTTTAAGTCATGATTTCATTAATTTTGCATCTCTTTAATTGTTATGAGTTGTAAAATGTAAAACTGAAGATATCTTCCAAATTCTCATTATTGAAGCTCATTTCCAACCTTTATAGATGTGAGTCAACTCACAATTATTGATATTCTATCAGAAATACAATTAAACTTTCTTCAAGGGTGATTTTAAATCACCTCCTAATAATTTCACTTAAACAGCTAATCTCTAGTGTTGAAAACATTGCACACAATGAGTGTAATTGAATCAAGCTACTTTCGTTGCTAGTAAGATTGATCGTGCTCATCATTGATTTCTCGAAATGTTATTTCTCTTTCTTCTTAGAGATGGCGACAATGAAGTACGACATCAAGAAACTAGAACGGTCTACTCGTTTTGCTTTGTGACAAGTCAAATGAGAGATATCTTGATTCAGTTGGATCTAGAACAGAAGAAAGAGAGATGCCGGAAAAATTATCAGCTGAAGAGAAGTTTCAGATGGACAAAAAAGCAAAATCTCATATTCGTCTACATCTATCAAATGAGATCTTGCAGGACCGATTAAAAGAGAGCGTAGTCGCCAAACTATGGTGACAACTGGAGTCATTATGTATTGGAAAGAGTCTCATAACAAAGTTGTACTTGAAACAAAAATTATACTCCCACCACATGGTAGAAGGCTCAAATATGAACACTCACGTCACCAAATGCAAGAGGATCATCACTTAACTTGAGATGATCAAGGAGAAGAATGATGATTTCCTATTCTTTTTATGACATTATTATACTGATTGATTGAATTATAATATTTTTATAAATTAATGCCTTAAAATTTCTTGTCAAATATATTTATTGCTTAATATATTTGTTTTCAAATATATTTAATTTTTAATATATTTAATACCAAATATATTTGTCGCAAAATATATTCTTTTGTAACTTTATAAATACTCATGGCATTTCACGAGTTCATGGGTTTTTTTGGGCAGGGAGAGAAATTAAAAAAGAAATCAAGACATTTTGTATTCAGCTTAATCGTCAATCACCTTTGAATCAATGAAGTTTTGCTCCAACTTTCCGGTGATTTTTTCTCGATTACGGGTTTTTCAATATAAATTTTGTATTTTGATTGTGTGACGCGCCAAAACTTACCACAAAGTTAATCGGCTGCACAACACAAGTATACGTGTCAAGTAATGTGTTTAAAGAGTACCACATATCAAACCAACAGGAAAAGTGTAGCAATTATTTCAGCAGAAAAATATTTGGTTTTCGAATCCGATGAACCTAGTTTGGCAATTTCACAAAGAAGATTTTAAATCCTAATCCTAAGAAAAAAAGAATAAATTGCAAACAGAAGAAACAGAAGAAACTGGAAAAATCTCAATGGTTCCTCCAAGATTTATAAGGCTCGTGCCTCTGTGATTCGTGGATCATGGTCATCGTGGCTTTCCTAAATGTTTTCTAACGTAATTGTTGTCAATCGAGGATATGTTACTCCTTATGCCTATGTTTAGGTCCAAAGAAACTAAGAAACCATTAAGTCAAGGTTTCCTCAATCCTCATGGCATTCCGCATAATTGTTCCGATCATCTCGAATGATTGCAAAATTCCCCTGAAATATGTCAATTTTCTCGAAATTCTGTGGTTAACCCTTCATTTCCACTACACAACGGTTAGAAGTCATAACTTCATGAAATATTTTAACATCCTAGTTGGCCAGACTAGGAATAAATTAGGTTCTTAGGTTACCAACAACATAGGACATTAAAACACAATAAAATATTACGGGAAAAATATCTCAGAAAACCATGATGAAAAGCACTACCCTTCACAGAGACACAAAAAAGAGTTTAACAATGCATGTTCAAGAAAGACACAGGCACAAAACCCATGCAGATCTTCATTGCAAGAGATAAACAAAAATTAAACTTACAACAAAGGCTTTGTTCTTCACACGAATAGCACCTTTCTCTCTCAAACACAAATCTCTCAAAAAACACTCAAGGACTCGAAGGAAGAAATCACCCCTTTAGGTTTCAATCCAAACAAAGAGGAGAAAAATAAGGAGAGAACTCTCCCTAATCAAAATCTCACCTCTCTTACATCCTACAGCCACCCAAGATCTCATAAATCAGTCCTCAAGAGAATATATATAGATAGTGCTTGACACGAGCAAGAAAATTTTTTCCAAATAAGTTTCAACAGGTTGGGCGCAGCTGCGCCGCGATTCCGGTGTGGGTGCGCCGTGTGTTGGGCAGAGAGAAGTGTGCAGGCGCGCTGGGGACAGAGCGGGTGCTTTACATTTGGCGCGAGTGTGCTAAACAAGGCGTGGGTGCGCCGGGATTAAAGCGGGTGCACCGTATGTGCGGCGTGGGTGCATTAGTCTAGAACCTCTGTATTGTGCTATATTCTGCTTTTTTTCGCTCCAATTTCACGTCCATCCTTTCTCTCGCATAGCCAAGACAAAAATGCCCTTCTCAAGCATGATATTAGTAGAAATGATGTAAAAGCACAGGGAAATGTGCCATAAAAATATCACATATTTAGCTTATATCAAATCCTCCAAACTTGTCTATTACTTGCTCTCGAGTAATCTTTTTGACGTAAACAAATCAATAGATTTGCTTTTATTTTATGAGACTTAATCTAATAATGATGAAAAAGAGAGTTTCATTGAAGTACTGTAATTTCCACCACTAAATTGGGATTTCCTTGCATGATCACACTTTATACTCATCATGTTTTACCTTTTACTAAACATAAAAATTCTTTAATTATTTAAATTGGCGAAACTAAAATCCCTCTTACTTTTCCCAGACAACTTTAAAACCCTTACCTGTTATTTTACCAATGGTTTTTTGCTTAATTGTTATGCATTTATAGAGTTCCAAAAGATTATACTAAGAGTGCACGTAAAACATTTAACATAGGGATAAGTTTAGAAGACCAACTTTTGACTTTAAATGTGTTTAACCTCAAGCTTCTTCTCCAGGTTCTCTTTTTCTTTTCTTTTTATGAGTGCAACTTTTTTTTTTCAATCCTGCGAGAATTACTATATTTGGTTAAACAACAAATTATTATTTTTTACTTTTTTTGCCTTTCAGAGTTTGGGCCTCCTACTCCATCCCTAATCATCTGTCTCTCTACCCCTCAATCTGCTCTTTGGTTCTTAAATAAACTCAGTCAAATTAAGGTTGTCTAAAACCCCTTAGAAGATCACACTTGTTTTCTGAACCTCTTGTTGAGATGGCTAACCCAAACAACCCCACCTCGAAACCAATTAGACAATATGTCAATCCTTCTGTTGAGGAGATCCACACGAGCATAAATTGCCCATCTGTTGAAGCCAATACTTTTTTTTTTCATTTTCTTTTTAAATTTTTTTTGAATTTTTTGCTATCTTTTTCACTTAAGATATTGTAAAAGAGAACAACTCTTTCTTTCTTATTCATCAATTGAAAATATATGATACATAATTATATACACTCCAATCTCTATAGATTAAGAATATTTCTAAGAGAGGAAAAATCCTCTAATCAGGTTACCTAATATAGAAAATACATTTAATAGGTTTCATATGATCAAGCTTCATAATATACAACCATTAGATTTATTATTTCCATAACATATGCAAAGAGAAAAAAGAGACAAAAAGAGCAGGGGGAAATCTTTTCCACTTTTTAGAAAGAAGAAAAAGAAAGCGGTAGAGATAGAGAGGGGAAGTGAGCGAGAGTATTTTTCTTTTATGAGGCACGAGCAGCTCGGATGGTACAACTAGCATGCAAAGGATTCATGATAAGGCAGATGGCGGGATAAGAGGAATTAATATTGGTAAAAAGTTGCTCTTTTTTATAACAATAATATTAATATTAACACAAACATTAAAATTATATCAATTTATATATTTTTAAAATAAGTGGATTGAATATTGATCTGTTTTCATAAATCCTCCTCATTAGCACACCTAGAATTTTATGTTTTCATACCTATAATACATATATATATATATATAATATTATATATATTAGGTATCACTTGTATGGCAACCCAAACAATATAAGTATTATTTCTATTTTTTTTTATATTCCAGATGTGTCGACGTAGTCTGCTTTGAAAATGGGTGACGTTCAAGTCCTTTTGGTCATAATAGAGGTATTTCAAATATAATTTGTGCAACATCATATCCGATGTCCACAATCTTATGTTGTATTTCTTGATAATTGTGATGCTTTAGACACATCAGCGTAATCTGCTTGGCAAATGGGTTGCGTCTTAGAGATTTAAATATGGAGAACATAAATATTTTGAAGAGGTTCAATCATAAACATAGATATACAATATGATAAGTCAAGGAGTTTTATTACACTTTTTTAGAAATATAAAGAGAAAATTTCATTCGGCGGGGCTCACATAAGGAGGAAAATAGACTACCAGCGAAGTTATAGTAAAGAGATTGAAGTACCAACAATAGCACACCAGAAAAAAAGAAGTTTTTAGAAGTTTAAATTAGAATGAAGAAAGGGAATGAGCTTTGAGCAACAACAAGAGCAACTAGAAAGCAACAAGTGCAGTCCAAACTGAAAAAAATATTCCTCCCAGGCATGCCTATTGTTCCTAGAGGCAAAAACTCATTTTCATTGCAGAAGGATCAGTATTTAAAGATGTGTATCTTAGATATACCGACAATTATGATGATTGTTGTTTGAGTTTGAGACAAATTATCATAATTCGTACAAACATAGGTAAACCCTGATGGTAACAAATGGGTGATCATAGAAATGAAGAAATACAACCAAAGGAACATTGAAACACATGATCACTGTTATTTATTTATTGTTTAATCATCTATTATGTAGTATTAATTACTATAGGATTGAAAGGTGCATACTCTAAGAATGGCCCAAAGCATTCTTAAGATATCATGAGTAGTTGTAGAGCTGAATGCCTCTCAAAGAGATTTCTTCAATATTTGCCAAGGATGTTCCTAAGAAGACATTTAAGGACTTTCTTGAAGACATCTACGAGGAAGCTCCGAATACATCTTGAGTTTATCGTAAAAATTTAAATTTTTATGGATGCACGCTTTCCACATGTTAGATATTATGATTTTCAAGGATTGCAATTTTCTCCCATTTTGAAATGTTATAAAATAAAGCAAATAGGGTTTCAAAATGTAAATAATTCATCAGGCAATGATTTCTTCCTATGTTCCTTGGCTTTCATTCATTAAAAACTTGAAATGTCATGTCATTTTGCTCTAGATTACATCAAGAGTTAAAGATAAAAACACGAGCAAACACTTCCTCCACAAAAAAAACTACTGAGGCTGTTCCATAAATGCCAATACAAGCAATGCGGTAAGTGAAGTGTCTCTGGGTGATGCGACAAAGGCACTAACAAAAGAAACCACTGCAATGAAAACTATTGGTCTAATTCTCTTAAAGTGTTCTGATTTTATATCAAAGAAGAGTGTCATGAAAAAAAAAAATTATTATTGTACTTTTGGAGGGTCTCGATCCAGTGATAATGGAACCCGCTACAAATGAAGTTAGTATTGGAGTTGAAGTTACTCAATTGGAAATCGACAAACGAGAAACATTAGCGGGTTTTGTTCTGAAAATAGAGACGATAAACAAAGAACAAGTTTTTGGGGATGGAGGTACACCTTCCGAGTAAAGAGGAACTGCTTCCTCAAGAAACAAAGCCTCTAATCCAAGATATAAAGGCCACGAGTGATTAAAGAAATAACATATATTGCCTAAAGATTTGGAGGGTACACCACTCAATTATTGAAAGGTTGTGTTATAGAAGTTAGGAGTCATATTTTCATGGCCTTGGAATAGGTGTTAAGACATTCCCAATGAAGAAAGCTGAGATAAGCTGTAAAAAGTCAAGACCTGAACACTTTCAAAGAAGTAAATGAGATGGTTGTGAAGTGCAAAGCAGGAGAGGCACCAAAATCCTCCATGGATGATGAAACATAATTTTGTTGTGACGTTTGATGCAAGGGTTATAAAGCCTGGAGTAGAACCACATGCTCTCTTCAGTGATTCCTTAAGTAAGACGACGAAGGCTTGTACCAAAGTCGGAGGAAGCAAGGAAAAATCTTTATAAAGCTCACTAAAGAGTGCAGAAAGTACAAGGCATAATCAATGACTTGAGAGACATAACTGAAGACTTGCATGTGAGCTTGGACACTGACCGAACAATCCTAAACAACCTGACTACTTTAACAAGGTGAAGTCCAAGTAAACTGAACAGATGATTTTTATGATGACTCAGCTCAAGCATTTGAACTCAAGCAATTTTTTAGATCCAGCAATCTTGGAACTCATTGCAAATATCTTGAATGACACTAGGATTTATGTGTCAAGGTATGTTATGTCAAGAAAGATAGAATCACTAAGCACGTTTGAGCCACCTCTAACTCAAGGAGACTAACAATGACCTCGACGGGTCTCTCAACAAGAGCAAGCATGAATATGTTAGCTATGATGACTGCCCAGAGGAGCATGTGGGTCCTTACAGTAGGAGATTTTTGAGAAGTCGAGACGATCCTAGTTATAGTGAAAGTAAAACAAATAGGTAACAAAAAAAGCTATGTGAAAGTACATGTAGCCCATATTTTGACATAAATGAAAGAACGTTTACTTTTAATATGATTGCCAATCTTTTATTTCATTGCAAAAAAATAATATGATCTGATATATTATAAGTCTTGAGAAAATATTTTAGGAGCGTGCAAAGAGCGTTGTATGATCATCCGTTAAGCCAAGATTAGCATTATGCGAGTGTTGGCTCTACTCGATTGATATTTTGAGAGAATTATGTAATCTTTCTCAAGAAATGTTGCTCCGAATAAGAGAATAAAAATCTTCTCAAGAAAAGTTCTTAGGTCTTGAGAGATGATTTTTTATCCTAAGGTATGAGTGCATGTTATTGTTTAAAATAAAAATATTTCATTAGCACAAAATAAAATTGAATTTAAATTAAAAATTAGCTTTTTCAGTGAGTGAAGGGTGAGTCTGACATTTTATAAGCTATGTTATATCGAGAATGGTAATAAATGCAACGTTTCATCTTTCAAGAACTTCCTCCTGATTTATAAGTCTATAGATTATCAAAGTAAACAAAGAAGAGAATGGAGCATACCAGCAAAATAAAAACAAAAATTACAACCATTGTGGCAATGAAGAGGGTTCATAATGCATTAATTTATCATTTAATAGAAAATCTACCATGCCGACAATGGGTAGTTGGCAAAATTGAATTTCAAAATTCTCTATGCACTACCTCACACTAAAATGACCTCAGAGTTAAATAAGGTTGTCTAAACATGAAGAGGAAGATAACATCTCAACTAGAGCTAGGCTAACCTTATTTAAATCCTTAAAAGCTATTTATGTTGTGCATAACAAGCTGTTCATTGTGGATTTAGTTTTTTAAGATCCAAAATAAACAATTAAGAAAAGCTTAAAAGAAAAACAACATTTCTTTGAATAGCGTGTGCATTGTGATTTATTTCAATAAATTGTTTGGCTTTCAAATTGAGTCAAGGCTAAGTTTGCAACTTCTAATTTCTCATTTAAAGCTTTAATGGAAGAATTGCAACTTAAATAAGGATCTTTTGAATAAAAATCATAAACCATTCTTATATAAAGCCTAATCACAACCACTAAATAATTTAACCCAAATATAATCCCAAATAGCATCATGCTCACAATAACTATAGAAAAATGTTATTACTAAAAAAATAAGCAATGTTTTCTCTCCATAATTTATGCCAATTTAGGCATATTAATCTTCTTCTAACTTGATAATTCATACAATACGGGCATAAAACAATAAAAAAAAAGTGAATGCCAATCAAAAAAAGTAATTTTTCATAATATAAAATAAGCAAATCTTTATTTTGTTCAAAGGTAATAATTTACCTTAAAAGACCCATTAACCTTCGACTTTTGTCGCCACTCAATCCCAAGCTCCTTTGATCCTGCATGATAAATAGCCATAAGAGAATCCCTCTCCTCAATCCACCTTGTCACTGCAAACTCCCAAGCATTTTTTGACAAATCTAAACAAGGCTCGACTACAATCTTCTTCGTTAAATCTCCATGAGTGTAGGCATACCTCACCTTCATCACCCCTGAGCAAAACTCATAACCTAACCCAACATTATTTACAATATTGACGTTTGTTGACCCTAAAAGTGTCATCTGGCTATTGCCACTAATAGCGTGGGTGTGGGTGTAGGCCAACCTCATTGCTTGACCCATAAAGGTCACCTCATTAATGAATTTGAAGTCAAAATCCTACAAAGAAAAGAGGATTCTATTAATATTAGAGGTTGTATGATTTCATGTTATGTAGTTGGAGGTTTCATTTACATACTATTATTATTTAGATAATATTTTCATCTATTGAACAAAATTTATTTGTTTCAATATTAAATTGGTCTCATTGGTTGCCTTTATTAGAGAACGTGTTTAAAAAATTGATGATTTCATTCTCAATTATTTTATATTTGAAACCAAAGCATCACATTTGAGAGGTTTTGAAAGTGTTTGTGACATCCAAGGTTAACATTAATTTCTATGAATACCTAACCAAACGACAAGGTCTGGTAAAATCACTATTTTTTGAAGCACACTTCTAACTTCAAGTAACCTAAGAAGCCCAAACCTTAAGACTACTTGGCTCGCTAACAGCTATTATTTAATGTCATGATACTAACACACGTGAGCATATGATCCACTAACACTTGGATTCATAAATCATATTAAAATCTGGTCTTAATGAAATTTAGGAAAAAAAATTATTCAAAAAGTAAAATAAATAGTTATGAAAAGAAAGATCTAAATCACCACTAATTTTTGCTAGATAATACTACATTGCTTAAGTTAATATTAAACCAAACACACTAAATATGATAAATATTAACAAAGTATGAATAATACTAATCTAATATATAACATTATTATTTACATAATATTAAATCAAACAACCTCACTTCACTATTAGTTTGATAAATGTTAATTATTATTCTTGTTGTCAGTTTCTTTTAGTCAACAAACATCTTGACATAAAAATGTTTCTAAATTTAGCGGGCATCTCAATGTCCTCAAAATTATAAAGTATAATTGTGTATTAAAAAATTACTTAGAACATAAAAGTGCAAAACAAGAGCAAAACAACTAACATCTGGCTAATAACATTACATTACATAAAAAAAGACATGAAATAACTCCACTAAATGCAAGCGACAATTAAAAAGCGTAAGGAGAAAAAAATTCTTTCCAGTTTCATTCTTTACATTAAAAAGAGAACGGATTAATCAAAAGTGCACATATTGTATATATTATATCCAATACATTTGATAGATTTTGTAGACATTGTTATGGCTAATATTGAGAAGAGTACAAGTCTTAGCTTGACTCAAAACTAGATTTTATTTCTATGACTCAGAATAGAATAAAATAGAGAGCTTCATATAAGATTTTTAAAAGTATTTCCTGAGCTAACAAAAGTTCAAATAATATAAAAAATAGCAATATTGAATCCATAATTTCAAGCACATCTCAAAATTTATTGAGAATCTGCTTCAAGTAAAGACTCTAGCTTTTAATTTGAAAGTTTCTTCATTCCATCAAGAAAATAAATTTAAAAAAAATGAGAAAAACTTATTCTGAAAATTTTCTTTGTTTTTAATGTTAGGTAAATGAAAAGTTCTCTCTTTTATTATAACTCAATTGATATCATTAAGATATAAATACAAAAATGATAGATTTATAGATATAACTTGTCATTCATGAATAGAGAATATGTTTCACAAAATAAATTTTGAAAAAAAAAAAAATTAAAGAGCTCCAATATGTTTCACAGAATTTCTCTTATTATTTGATGATATCAGAATTGCTCCCAACCCCATTATGACTTATTATTATGTATTTATATTTCTACCAACTAATGAACCTTATATCAAATATAGGAGCTTTAAAAAAAGGGCGAGATTGGACCTTCTTGATAACATAAAAAATGAGAGAGAAGGAGCCGGGCTTGTGGAGGGAGAGGGCGAGTCCGGTGAGAGAGGGAGCAGTGGAGAATGTTGCGTCAGTGAGGGTAGCGCTGAGCTTGAAATCGTCGGAGGTTACGGAGAATGCTGCTGAAGCAGCGCCGCAACGGGCTTCATATCGGCCCTTTACCTTGGCTTTCATTCTCTCCTCTATGTAGCGAGGAACTGACGTTTGAGTAAGATGAGAAGAGCAGGAAGAAGAAGAAGAAGACGCGGAGAGGAAATAAAAGCGGCATGGTTAATAAATCGCAGCGGCGGAAGCAATCGGATTGGTCAGGAGCACGGGAAAGGAGACGAGTGAGGCGCGAAAAACGTGTTATTGGGCGTGGCGTAAACGAGCCCTAAAAGATGAAAGATGAAAATATATTACATCAGTACACGGAACGACATTCACACGGTAAAAAAAACGATCCAATAATATCAAAGAATATTTTTTTCCTATTATTTATGTGTTATTGTGTGTTATTCATGTGTTATTGTGTCCTGAGAATATTATTGGTGTTATAATAACACAATAACACATCAATAACACACAATAACACATGAATTACACAGGGGAGAATATTCCCCCGTGTTACTGCGCCGTTTTTTTCTCCATCGAGAATATTTCCCATGTTATTCAGGTGTTATTATGTCTTATTCATGTGTTATTGTGTCCTGAAAATATTCTTGGTGTTATAATAACACAATAACACATTAATAACATATGAATAACACGCAATAACACATGAATAACATACAATAACACATGAATAACACAAGGGGAATATTCCTCGTGTTACTGTACCGTTTTTTTTTCTATCGCACAAGATGTCGTTGGTTGTGTGATTTCATTGGCTACGCACGTTAATTCTACGTGCGTAGCACTGATATAATATTTTTTCCTAAAAGATACCATTGTTCTTGTCGGGCTAATTTCTATTGTAACACAAAAATTTGTTTCTATTAAGGTCATTTTGTTAGTGGTGTAAATGAGCCCAGTTTGAGCGAGTTCAAACTTGACTTGTAAAAAATATCATTGTTCTTGTTCGGATCGTTTATATATCAAGCTCAAAAATTTATTTATACTTGTTTTGCTCGCCTATGGAGCCGAACACGACTTATTCACCAACATTGAACTATTTTTACAACTCTAATCACATAACAATAAGATGTTAAGGGTAAGATAAGATTTAATCCTGTTTTTTATATTAAATATTCATTTAAATAGAATTTAAAATATTTTTATTCTATTTTTAATTAATAATTTTAATTGATTATACATCTTTGTAGCGTTGTAGTAAATTAAATTATTTAAAAATAATACTCTCTCTATATAGTTATTTCGAGCAAAAACGAGCCGAACACGAACAAATAAAACATTATTCTTGTTCAACTCATTTATATATCGAGCGCAAAAAAAAAAGTTTGTGTTCGGCTCTTTTGCATAACGAACGAATCAAACACAAGTTGTTCACAAACAACGAGCCTTTTTGACAGCCCTAACTAAGGTATGTGAATGATGTACCCGTTAAATAATTCATTAATCCTTTTATAACAACCAAAAGATTCACATGCATACAACTCCATTCTTTTGCATCTACATATCCGAACACCTAAACTTAAGGTTTTACATATATATTTTTGATGTGATATAAATATAAAAAATCAGAATTTAGGCGTTAGAGATGCAAAAACATAATAAATAATTGGTGACATGTTATGTAAATATCCACAATTTATATATATTTGATATGAAAATTTTGTAATTAACTGAAAAAAAACAAAATCTCCCTTTCAAATATACAATGCATGAGAACCGACTCGAAGTTATTAATGTTGTTGAATACAAACGTTTATTATTAAATAAATAATATGTTAATAATTTGACAACATATTTATTTCAAGCATATCTAATCACTTGTTTGATGACTTATTATATACTATTGCATTATTTTTTATTTTGTTTACAATTTATTATACATACAACTATCTATATCTATATATATATAACTTATAAGCATATTACTTCTAACTTCGGCTTCATACTTTCCCAGGCATACAAATAAGTCATAATATTTAAGCATAAACTTTGCTTAAAAATAAAAAGGAAGGAAGATTCATATACATAACAATAAGCATTAACAATACAATAAAAGCGACCAAATAAGCACTACATTGTTAGGAAAAACAATGAAGGAAGAGCTGAATTCAAACTCACCCAAGCAAATAATAATAATAATATAATAATAATAAAACAGTGTTCGGTGGCTCCCTATTAACAAGAACTTATCATAGGATCTACTAAATCCAACCAAATATAACCAAAACAACAATTCTATGAATATATTAAATTTCGGAATTAAGATCGGATTCGTGGATTTAATAAAATCAGCAAAATAAAAAAAAAAAAAAACCAATATCTTCGTAATCACAATTGACATCATGGAAAAATATTACATCATGACTCCTAATGTAGAGCTACATTCTGAGTTTAATGAAATGACGTCACGTGGAGATGACAGAAAAAATTTTTTAAAAAAATTGCGTTAGCGCAGAAAAATATTTCCCCCTGTTATTTCGCATTATTCAAGTGTTATTGTTGTGATATTCATGTGTTATTGTGTTCTGGGAATATTCCCGGTATTATAATAACACAATAACACCTGAAAAACGTGAAATAACACAGGAGGAATGGATCACAGGAAATCGCGTCGCGTATCAGTAGACTCCGAACGTAGCTCTACGTTAAGAGTCCTGATGTAATATTTTTTTCTAACATCATCTATCTAAATAAACTTTAACATCTATGCCATTATCAATCAAAGACTGAACAACGGCCCTAATCTTCCCCTCAAACCTATCCCGTTCCCTGGGCGTGTAACTCGCGGTATACACATCAGCTTCCCTCGCCCCCTCCGCCAGGATCCTCCCGACGGCCAGGCAAGCCGGAATGTCCGATCTCGACTTCAGAACCGCTTTGATGTCCTTGGAGTTCGTCCCCGCAACCGCAACCTGCTTGCTCGTGACTCTGTGGGTGAGCGAGGCGGACACGAATCGCTTCGAGATGAACACGTCCAGGGTGAAGGGTTCCATGTAAGCAATCGTTCGCTGCTTGAATGAGACGTGCTTGTGAAGGTTCTTCGGTTTTTTCTGCTTCTCGTAAGTGTAAGGTCTGCTGTTGTCGTCGTCCACGAAGTCTTCGACGCCGAAGAAGCTGCGGGGATGGGAGAGGGCCTGAACAAAATCGTTCACACATTACACTCATCTTGAAGAAAATTTAAACATATTAGAGACCATATAATTCTAATATATTTGCATATATGACATTTGAACACTGTTATTTAGCTAATGTCATGAACGTATACATGAAAGGATGTATTTAACTTCCTAAAAGCTAATGAGTATGGTATTTTTAATGTGATGTGATGTTATGCATGAAAATATTGAAGTTTAGGTGTGTTAGATATGTAAATACATGAGAATAGTGTGCCACACCATATGTTATGTCGGTGGTGATGAACAAGTCCTAACTGCTATACAAGATTCAGAACATGAAACCTCTAGATATCGTTCTAGGGCTCAACCTAGGATTCTTACGGAATCATCAATGTCGATGGTTCGTATATGAGAAGCGTCAAGATGAGGACCACCGAGGCAAGAGCCACTTAGGCAGGACCTAGATGAGCTCTTGGTCTAGGGCTAGAAGAAGAAGAATGGATGAATCTTACATCCCAAAGTGAAAACCTTCTGAATCATCGGATGAAGGAGCTAGAAGAAGGAGACAAAGGCCGTTGGAGAGCACATTCTCAAGAGAGATTGCGAAGCCGGAGCACCAAGAAAGTTCAAGATTCATTATCTAGAATCTTATAAAGGGAAGTCAAATCATATGCTGATCATGTATTTTCTTTTGAGCCAGCTAGATGTTTATTAAGGGTAAATAAAGCCTTAAAAAATCATTTAATCTCTATGATATTGAAAGAATCAGTTCTGCACTTGTTCAATAACTTACCTGCATCAGGCACTATACCTATCATCAGGTACTACGCCAACAGAAGCCAAGGGTTCTCAAAAGTTCTGGATCAAGTATGTGCACTATTTAATCATCAATGAAAAACTAGTTAGAAGATCGATCGCTTCTATCTACCTCAAATGCGTCAAAGAGAACGAGAAGGCCTAAGTTCTGCAAGAAGTTCATTCAAGAGAGTACGAAAGCCATTTCAGAGGAAGGACCCTTACGAATAGAAATATCAAGCAAGGCTACTATCAATCTACACTCAACAAGACACCAAAGAAATCTCAAAAATGTGTGAGCAATGCCAAAAGTTTTTCGACCTAAAGCAATTTCTTTGTCACCTAAGGAAGCATAAACCAGTGGCAGTTCGAGCTAATGAGAAAATAAAACAGAAATGCATTCAATTTTTGGAAAGAACGAATAAGAAAAATAGACATTCATCTCATACACTTGTTATTCAGGAAGTGACGAATTCAAGGAGTCTCGACAGATAAAATCTAAATAGAATAGCATTCGGATTCAAGGAATGAAAAGTTCTCTCTTTCAGATATCAATGAGTGATAAGCTCAAGACAACGGCCCGAAAGTAATCAAATTACTCAATTCACCTTTTTTAGAGTATGTTTCACCTTTCATATCTTTGTATCTGGAACTATTTATTATTAGAAACATTTTTTAAAAATTTCTTCACAAGTGTCGCATGAATGTTGGATTACATTCCTTATATAGACAACGATGATCGGTAAGCATGGGCAAAATAGTGAAACATTAGAGTTGTATTCCCATCAACAATATTAAAGCGCCTTACTCTCATTTATTATTGTCTATGTAACTGATATTACTTGACCTTTAGATAAGTCACATCCTCAACATGACTTCCCATGCCCGGTATTCAATAAAATAATACGGTCAATCTAAAGGCACAAGATTTTATTCCCTCCATCCCTGACAAGAAGACAAATCAAACCTCACGAGATCAGGCGTTTGGATCATTTTTTGAATTTATGATATACAAAAATTATATCTCATCAATGTTTAAGCAGCAAAACACCCCGACAACAAAAGGCAAGTTCCCTGGTCGCAGGTCAAGCAGTAGCGGATCGACTCTCCCATATGCACAAACACAATAATGATTATCGCAAGAGTCAACCCTATGGCAAGTCTAAACAAGTCCCTCACAACGATAACAAAAAGATTTGCTTAATACGTCTTACAAGAGGCATGATTCGTCTAAGGCGATGACTTAATTAAAAAATCTATACAGAGCTTAGGTATGCCGTAAGACTACAACCGAAGGATGATGGGACATCAATACATATACAATCATGACTAACTAATTCTATTGGGAATGTGATGATGAGATTCACCCCTTATTTCGAAAATAAAGTTCATCATTGTTAGAATTCATTACAGACAAACCACTAAATATAAGAATCATAGTATTACAAAAGAGGCTAATAAAATATCAAAAAAGCTATTTATCCGAAGTATCAACATTCTTATCCTTCTCAAAAAAGTAGGAGAGCATAAAAAACTGATTGAAATCATCCTAAATTGGAGGCAATAATCCTCCACTGACTCATAATTCTCAGCAAGTAACTGCTAAAATCCCAAGATCTTTGTAATCTCAGCAAGAAACTCTTCTTACGTTTTCTGCCCTCTAAAAGTTTCTTTAAATTGACAACTTCCTATCACAACTCATTTATATTGTGGTCTCATCCACTTTGATATTCTCATCAGCTTCCAAAGATTAGGCCTTCAGCGCTAAGGCTTCATTTTCTTTTTTAAGCTTGTTGGAATAGGTCTTTTGATCAGTCAAAGCAACTTAATCTTCATTTGGAGACTTTGGAGCCCAAATAGATGCAGTTCCAATTCAGCATTTTTGATGTCGGTTTCCACACATCTTTGCTTGAGAAGCACGCTTGTAAAAACATTGTCACCGATACTCTTCTTCAATTTATAGAGCATATATTCTTCATGGCTAACTTAAAAGATGGTATTTTTTCTAATAAGGTGCCGATCAATTTCTATGAATTTAGTTCGGTAAGACTGATGATTAATTTGTTGGCATAGTATAACTGCATAATATCAGATTATTTTATTCCCAATTCATTTAGGATAATTTTAATTATAATGGTTGTCCAAGTTTGCGTGTAATTGCTTGAAATTCTGCCACAGCAGTATATCTGGAGGCTACATATTGCTTCTTGTTTTTCTAAGTGTTCAAATGCCCTCCCAAAAACGTGTAATAACCAGCAGTAGTTTTCTATCTAACAGAGATCTTGCTCAGTCAGTATAAGTTTAAACTGCTAAGACGAGACTTCCATCTCTCTTCAGTAAGATTCTTTTGTTTGGGGTTTCTTCGAGAAATTTAAAAAAATTATATGCAGCCTGTTAATGGAGTTCTTTTGAATTATGCATGAATTAAGTTAAGAGCACTTACCGTATAGGCTATATATGGTCTTGTGTGGGTAAGGTAAATAAACTCCCCAATCAGCTTTTAGTGTCCCTCTTTGTCAACTTCTGAAACATTTTCCGCCTCTGAAAATTTATGGCAGTCATCAATTGATATTTGTAAGGGATGCATCCAATCACAGATTTTTTTATTAAATCCAAATTTATTTTAATTGAGAGATGAATATCTTAGCCTATGAATGAGTCACTTCTAATCTGAATAACTATTTGAGCTTTCCGATATCTCTAAATTCAAATTCTCTAGATAACTAGCTTTTCAAATTCTCATTTCTCTAGAAGCATCTATTATCGTAGATATGTCTTCCATATGAATAATTAAAAATATGATTTTACCTTCCATGAATATTTATATGAATAGAGTGTGATATTTGAGACTTTGCTTGAATTCAGCCTTTCTATAGTTCAGTAAACCTCTCAAATCATGCTCTTAGGGATTAATTGGGCCCATACAAAATCTTCTTTAGACTATATATATGGTTAGGATTAAATCTCCAATTAAAATCATGTGGAGGTCCTATATAAGCTTCTTCTAGTTATCCATTAAAAAAATGCATTTTTTATATCTAACTATTGTAAATCAAATGAATGTTGATTGGTACGGACAATAAAAACTGAATGATCTTTAACTTTGTGAATGGTGGAGATGTTTTTCCATAATGAATTCTTGGTCCAAGTATAACCTTTTACAATAATACTAGCTTTATACCTTTATCCCATTTGTATTGTCTATGATAGTAACTACCCACTTGCATCCGATTAAATTATTTCCTTTTGGCAATATACCACCTCCCAAGTTTAGTTTCCTTTTAAAACTTGCATTTTTCTACTCTTTATTCTTAGGTACTTCTTAATATTTTTTGCAATTTTGATATTATCTCAGTGGAAAGGCATTGTGGGAGGAGGAAGGGATGAAAAGAAAAACAAGTTAGGTATTGGGGGTTGGGTGCATTTTTTGTATTCCCCATGCTTAAAACAATAAAAGGCAAATACTATGATGAATTGGAATTACAAGGGTAAAGTCCATATCTTAAGTCAATGATGATTGCTCTTGCACCAATGATGTATTTATAATCTCTTCGAACTTCAACTTTCTTGAACTTCAATGCCATAAATCATGTCTCACCTACAACGCCATGTGGCTGGGTTAATCATGTAGCCCATTGTACAACATAAACCATACCTCACCGCATTATGACATTCACAACCAAAATAACATGAGAAAACCAACAAAAATTAAGGAAAGATGGTTGTTTGCAAACTCTATTAATGTCCATGTCTTGAATCTTCAAGGCATATCATGCATCTCGCCACTGTAGCACATGCTAGGGTGATTCTAGTAGTATTTTTTAAATCGTAAATCATACCTCACCCCACTATAATACCTGCTAGGTTGAGCCTCAAAGACTTGTTGACATAAAAAATCATTAAAGAATTAGGAGAAGGAGCTACCCTTTTTTGCCATCTTCAATGCTTTACAACATTTCCGTACCCAAGAATTCAAAAAAAAAATCCTCAATTATAATTTCACAAACATTGGTGGTACTAAGCTTGTGCTGAACTTTCTGACATAATGAATGCATATATAATGATATCTTTTTATAAAGTTTAAATTCGAAATGATTCTAATCACATTTACATTACCTCATGAAAAATGAGAATCTAGATGTATTCAAATAGAATATGCTCTAATGACCGATTGTATGAAGGCATCCTAAACTTGCCTTATAAAATTTATAGCTCCATGTATTATTTTAATAAGTTGTGAATGAAGAAAAAACTAACATTAAATGTTTAATATTATGGTTTGTGCTTCATTACACAAATTTGGCATGTTTTTACTTATTGCAGCTAATCTGATTGTTTACATTAAAAAATGCTACTCTAATTCTAAAGTGAAGTGGTGACAATTATTTTGTCTGAAAATATAGCTTCCGTTGCACTATTGAGAATAAGAGCCCCATGTGAATAAGCCCCAACCCTCATATAATCTACTATGCAACAAAAAAAATCGACAGATAAGAAATGGGAGCACTTTAATTGCTTAAGCATAATGCTCATCAAGTCTTGAGTGTCTAAAGTAGTATAAGTAGATTCCTTAACTTGATAATGTAGAATAGTTTATGAAGGCCGTTGAAGAAAATCTAACAGAACAATGAGTGGGGCATATATTCATGAAATCGAATGCAATCACTGTGTAAGACACAGACCTTTAGATTAGTTCTAAGTAATGGATCTGTTCTTGATTTTGGAAGCACCTTTTATGTTCAAAGTAATATATAGTAGATGGTAGTTTTAATTTTATTTTCAAAAACTATGGATAACATTCACCGAAGAAATTGTTTGCTGCGGATGGATACATAGATTAGACTCAATTTTATTTCTTATAATGCAATTTTTCTTCTATACAGGGCAATAATAATGGCATTAGGAGGAATCTCATTAAAGAGAACTTCAAGTTTATGACACAAAAGATTAAGCTATATCTCTTTAGAGAGAATAAAAAGATTTATAAATGATTGGACTTTGAAAGATCATGATTCTACTAATTTTGGTGCTTATTTAGAAAGAAGAAAAGGTAAATAAACAATCAAGGCACCTAAAGGTGCTAAACAGATTTTTGAGGTATTGGAAAACATACACTCATATTTGTGGATTATTTTTAGCTCCTTGTTTTAATGGTGAAAAATATTTTATCAGACAAAATGACAATACAATATAAATCATCAAATATGAGCATGAATGGTACTATGGAAAGTACACTGAAAAAAAAAGACAATGAGTGGGTACATTTGCTAACTTTTTTCAAGAAGAAAATATATTTCCTGATAACACAATGTCGGGTACACCATAACAAAATTGATGTTAGGAATGCTTAGTTTTTTGAAAATTGCAAGCTCGGCAGCATTGGTTTCTAGCAAGATGGAACTTCAGTATATTAGGGACTAAAATGATTGAAAGAATAAAGATTTGGAATTAATTGTATTTTGAGATGATCCACCATCACACTTTGAAGGGCTACCAAATCAGGAATCACTACAACGAAAAGAAAAAATTCACATTGGACCTAAAATAAAACATATTTCAATTACAATGGTAGAATTAAGATGATCACCAAAGCATAGAGAATAAACATCTTCTTTATATTACATTGGCTTTCTACAACTGTATGATTTTATTGTTGAGTGAATAATGGTCCTAAGTCATTCTTATAAGTCAACAATGGAGATAAATCTATGTTTTGGCATGATGCAGTGCAAGAAGAAATTGCATCTACAAATAAAAATCAAGTTTGTGACCTAATAAGGATCTAAAGCCATTCGTTGTTATTGGGTCTATAAGACCAAAAGGAGCCCCTCAAGTAATACTAAATGACATAAAGCTAGACTTGTTGCTATGGTTTCACTCAAAAAGTTAAATATAAATTAACATGAAGTTCCTTCTAGATTCCAAGAATAAATCAACAAAGGTAATCATGGCTTTGATACCTTATTTTGACTTATGGCTATATCAAATGGATGTAAAATAGTTTTTTTTATGGTCTTGAAATGATGGTTTTCATGATTTTACTTGAAGTTTTAACATGAAAAAATAATCATTTGATTTGCTATTTACGGAAATCTACAAATAGAATAAAACAAGCCCCTTGTAAATTATACATATAAAACTGTACAATGTTGTCAACTCGCATGATTTTATGGATAATATTTAAAGATCACATATGCAACTTGAAGCAAGCACTTAAGCATTGCAGCACCTTTTGGTGGTGGTGTTAAATTTTTGTTATGAACGCCAATGTTAAGTTTGCTCCTGTTGGAGCACTTTAAGAGATGGGTGACCTCATAAAAATTGTATCCAAGGATAAACTCACAAGACATTTGTGACCCAAATGGCTACACTTAATGAAAAAATAGGGTTATTCTAACTAGTATTAGAGTTAATGGTTTGACTGTGAGTGAGTAGTTCATTGATTTATGGCTCGCATGAGTTTTCGGGTCCGTTTGGGGCAGCTTATAAGTGCGGGCGGTGTTTTCAAAACGCCGTCGTACCGTTTGGTTTGCGCGTTTCGCCAGCTTATCTGAAACTGCGTTTGGGTTTTTACACTAAACGCAGACCGCGGGTGGACCCCTGCGGTCGGCCTGCGGGCCGCATTTCAGGCTAAGCAACTTATCCTGAAACGCACAAGCTGCCCCAAACGGACCCTTCAAGGGACTCCATTATAGTCAAGCAAGATACAAAATGTGACTTCTAAAGTTGCTCATTGTGGTCGAGTAAGCCTTGGGTGCATTATACAAGATCATGTCGTATGGGGGAGATTGTTAAGACAATTGGATTTAGTCCAATATTGGAAAACTGAATAATATGTTAAGTACTGAAAAATATGTTAGGTGTTAAAATACCAAGTGATTGAACTGATTGATATGCTTAAGGTTTTAGGTTCAAAATAGATTCTACCACTAATAAACCAAACCAACATTGTCCCTATTGGCCCACGGTCTAAAAACAAAAGCATAAGTTGTCAAACCATTGTCAACCTAAAAGCTTGAACCCATTGGTGAGGCCAGCAACTTGATATTCCAACACCAAATATTTTTAAACTATTAGATGCAAAATTAAACCCAAATTCTCCTGTACCTTAAAGTACGTCAATAAACAACCTACATAGACTTTTATAATCCAAGAAGCTTTTGAGCATCATCAAATTGCATGCACTAAAAATCCACTTAATTACAATTTTCACCTTCTCCTGAAGCATGCTCAACCATGATCAAAGGTGTCGCAAACCAAGGGAGCCAAAAATCTCTATGAAGAAATTCATCCCAATAAAATCAACTTTTCTACTAATAATTAGTAAGGATGAACCCACAAAAAATTAAAATTGAGCCCAACACACACACAGCCAGACACATTTCAAACGCAAAAGATTAAGATAATGGAAGAGACTCAATCACTACACCAACATCTCTCTTTCAACTATCTCCATTAGTCTAACATGCCTTAACAACCCCCTCTCACTTAAGCACTCTCCATATCGGTTATAAACTTAATGATCCATCCAAAATAAAAAGAAATGGATGCAATTAAAACCAAATAAAAACATGCATAATAAATTAAATAAATAACCAAAAATAAAACTCAGTAGACAAACAAATTGAAAAAAGAAATTACATTATAAGCTAGAAATACGTTGGAGTGGAAATCAATAACACATGCATCATTAAGTAAATGATAGTTAAGTAATCAAGGAAAGGTATATTAACTTACCTTTCCATTATGTAGACTAGTTCTGCAACAATACAAAGAAGAAAGTTTCTTGTAGTTTGAAACTAAGCTCTGTTTCAGCAGTTTGTTGCTCAAGATATTCTTGAACATCTCCAAGATGTCAGGAGATATCAAATAATGTTATCCAGCACGAGTAATTTATTCGCACCGATGACCTGAAAAACTTAGAAAGATTAAAGATCAATAAATCCTGTTAGCTAAGAAAACACGCAGATACACTCAAGTACTCAATCTTAAAAATATAACAACATGCACTTTTTTATTCGGGGAGGGTTTAGAGAGATCTATATGTATATTGAGTATTGTCCCGCACCAAATCAAATTTTTGAGCGGTATTGAAGCTCTCTATCTAATTCCAGCCTCAAATCCCTTTCCTTCCTTCCATTATCTGAAGCCCCACCCAATTTTACACTATATCCAAGCATTTAATAAACCTGTATTGTTTCCTCAAAACCTATCGGTCTGCTCCACACTGCTCTTCTTCTCCGTACACCATGAGAACAATAAAAAAACGCTGTACAGAGAGAGAGAGAGAGAGAGAGAGAGAGAGAGAGATGTTACTTGTAAATCCGACGGTGGCGGTGCCGGCGTGGGCGGCGAGGAATACGGCGGGCCCGTAAACGGCGAGGAGAGACTGGAGTGCGTTTTCCTTGTTTCAGCAGCGAGACACGTAGGGCTCGAGGCGAGGTTATATCATAGTTACACCCTAAAACTAAAACTATTTGTAACTTATAAATATATCAATATAGAAACAAGAAATTTATTAATTATAGGTAGGTTGTAGAGAGATTATAAGAAGTATAATACGGATATAATTCTTTAATATTTTTCTTGTAATTTATCGATGTACGCAGTTCTGTATACGTTATATATACACAAATATTTCTCACTACGAAGGGTGAGCGTTAGTTTGTTCCATGGATGGGTTTGCAAATTCTCAAAAAATGCAATCCAAAATCGAAACCTAAAATCTTAAAAATCAAATAAATTAAAATTTTGATAAAATCAGACCGAGTGAACTAGAATTTAATCGGATTTAAATGGTTCGATTATGAATAAATCAGTGTGTGTGTGTGTGAATCTCATAAATTTCAATTATTTATATTAATGTCAACTTATCAATAGAAGGTATGTTTTACTTTTTAAAAATAAAAATGATAATACTTTTTATATGATACGAAAGATTTGAGTGATATTGATATTAAAAAAATAGATTTTAGATTTTAGATATAAAAATGGGTGTTATGTATGTAAATACCCCTAAAATATAATAAAAATTTTTAATTAAATATCTATTATTTCTATTTATTGGGTTGAATAAAAATTAAAACTGAAGCAATAATCGAAAACCAAATATTAAAATTTTAAAAATTAAAATGTTTTTTATAAGATTTTGACTAATTATTTTGTCAAAATGCAACTAATTGCGGCAATAATTAATCTATTTAAATTGATTTGATGGTGTCACTCAATTCAACCAAGTTAGTTTAAGAGTTAACATGCACTCTTCTTTGTTGCCTGCAGAGAAATTTGTGGCAATAAATCAATAGATTGATATTTTAATTGTATGATTCAAAAAACATATGACCAAAAGACATGTTGAAGAGCAGATATCATAATTTTTACATGGAAAATTCAATAAAATGAAAAATATAAGATTTGACCCAATTAAAATAATTTTGCTAGAATATATATATATATATTTTTAATTGATGCCCTGCCTTCTACTTGGAGGAGTTGCTGATACATTATAGTGGATTTAGAAAAAGCTATGTTGTTTGTGGGAAAATTCCCAATGATAAAGTGATCATTTAGCTTCTTAACGTTGATCGGAAGTCCATCTTGTTGGGATTTTTTCTTTAAGATTCCCAAATTAGTTAATGATGGGAATTAAATTTTGTTTCTTTAGAATTCCCAAATTAATTAAAACTCTATTTTAATTTCAATACCCTTTGGAATCCCAAATTAATTTCAATACCCTTTGGAATTCCCAAATTAATTTCAATACCCTTTGATATTCCCAAATTAATTTCAAAACCCTTTGGAATTCCCAAATTAATTTCAATACACATTGAAATTCCCAAATTAATTTCAAAACCCTTTGGAATTCCCAAATTAATTTCAATACACATTGAAATTCCC